AGAGAATGTAAGAACAACGAAACCGTTGCCACTTTCCTCATTTCTACAGTGTAACAGTATTGAGACTTTGACCTGACTGATTAACAATTATTCCTTGAGCCCGAATGGGCTCTGAGTCAATAACCCCTGAGGCCGAAAGCTATTGACTCAGAGGCCATGAGAGTGAGAGGAATAATTGTTTTAGTAAAATCCAACTAGTTGGTAAAAAATATCGAGACAAAACAACTTTGAGTAGCAAAACGCGATTCAGCCGCCATTGTTTCGGTTTTCAAAGCCGGCGCTTTTCGCTACAAGTGGGCTATAACATATAGCCTAGTAGTAGCTCAACCAATCAGAACGCAGCATTGATAATAGACCACTAGTTGGATTTTACTAACATTTTTTATCCGTCTTTAGTTCTCAAAAAGTGCAATGTTTGTGATCTATGAATATATGAAATCACTGAATTTTTAATTAAGAAGAACTTCATGCCACGAACGGTTTCCTTAGTTTTTCTTCCCGGGTTTGTTCTGCAGATAACCTCGTACTAAGCACACTTCGCTTCGCAGGCATCCGTTGCCATTAATGCGAGGTGGTGTCCACTTAAATTTTAAGTCCATTTTCAATAGTTATATTTCTTCCAAGCTAATAAAACAACATTGTGTGATTCCTCGTTATCTTTACATTTTCGTTTAACGTTCTTCTGTTGTTTTTGGTTTCAGATCATTTCAGGTATGAGGGAGACTTCGATACTAAAGGTGTCATTCACTACCTCGGTTTCAATGCCGGAGTCAGTATCTGGCTGAATCCTGCTCGGGTACCGTCTTCCGGAGTGAAAGTGACCTACTGCGATGGTAATGGTCGTGGAGACCCTGAAAATATCTTGGAATATTTCACTCCCGGCAACAGTTCCACACGATCGGGATGGTGTCTGGACTTGGGAGATTACTACACGCTGCGGCCCACCGACTACACTGTGAGGCAGCTCGGAAGCAATGACAGAAACTTTCTACAAAACTTTGAGCTCCTTGGTAGGCTTTGTAATGACGATGATTGGTGTGTGCTGGGCAGGCATCATCAAGTTGATTGGAGGTCGCAGCGTTTTTCACACATGTTGTCAGGAAATAAAGACTTGTCATATAAAACAAAAACGTGGTCTGTTAAAGGGGAAGTAAGAGCGTATAGTCAGTTCAAGATAGTCCAGATAAAAGACATGTCGACCAGTGTGCCAGGCACGCATGCTATGTCCCTTGCTGGTATCGAGTTATATGGAGTACTCAGTGTGCCATTTTTTGAGTAGACTAAGGGGCCTGTTTATATTGAACCTCGTTCCCAGGGGTCTCTGCGAGTATGAGAGAACCCTGGGAACGAGGTTGAAAGGCTGGTTAAGTTTTCGCCATTCTGCTGTGATATGTTTGTAGTTTACAGAGTTTGATAAAAAAGTGTTTCAGTAGTGTATATAAAGGATATTACACGATGGCTTAAAGATACGATTTTATTTTCGTGTGGCAAAACGATATTTTGCCACAAGAAAATAAAATTCATATCTTCAAGCCGCCGTGTAATGTTCTTTTTATTATATAGACAAAAAGACATCGATAAAATAATAGAGGGAAATTACCGAAATTACGTCATCGATAAACTCACGTGTGAGATTATGGAAAATATAACCACTCGGGTCCAGGATGTAGTTTTTATGAATTTTACGAGTAGTATATTTTCCAGTAAAACACTCGTGTCTATATAATAAAATAGAATAGAGGAATTATATGGTTTATATATGTTCTTATTTGTCTCTCTTATATAGATCAGGCGTTAAATAAGTAAGTTCATTTGGATTTTTTGTGGGGCTTGATGAATAGTTTTATCAAATATTGTTCAGCTAAGCAATAAAAAATACATGTTGCTAACTTAAGCGAACTAAACTGATGGTGAATGAGAAAATAAAAATTAAAAAAAGGAAAAAATTCGCGGTTTCAATTACGTAACGTTGAGCATCCTTAATAGCACAATTTTGGTTCTTAAAATCTCTTTTAACTGAGAGCCCTTTACTGTAATTATTACAAACTCTGACCCGTAAAGATTTGTGTTGATATACGTTATTGTAACCATTCACGTGCTTGTAAATTGGTCGACAATATTTCTTGAAAAATGTCCCTGGCGGGTATCGAGTTATATGGAGTACTCAGTGTGCCATATTTAGACTAGAAAGAATAGCATATAACAAAGTTGCCTGGGCCTGTTTATATTTACCTTCGTTACCAGAATTCTCTCCTTCTCGGACACCTAAGAACGAGGCTGATTTACTTGACATGAGCCTGCCCGGCTAAGCGGGCTTCTAAACAATCTGTATAAAGTATTCGCAATTACATGTATGTTGTGACAACGTATTTGAAGTGTACATAAACCTGATACGGATCAAAGCGCAGAAATCGAAAGAGTGAGCGCAGCGAGCTAGTGATATTTTTGATGAAAAAACAACTCGTGCATAAATATAGTACAAAACACTTTCTATGTGGTATGGTGTTTATTCTCTATGTACTGAGAATCTGCATCATTTTGCCTCAATTTTCATTTTAAATCTTTTCTTTTAACGAGTGAAAGGCATCGTTCGCTTCTTTGATTGGCTAGAACATATTTGCGAACGATAATTTACGACATAGCTTTTTATCGGGTATTTCTCAGTATGTATGTCACGAGGAACCGCAAGCGGTGATATTTTTGCACGGCATCTGGCGGCACATCAAAGAATTTGGAATTGAAGGGCAAATTTCTAGAATATCTTCGCCAGTTAAGCTAGAGAAAAGGTGCTAAAAAACCTTAGGATCCTAAACAACACGTCAATCAAAATATCACTTGGACCTTTTCGCTAATGAAGAGCTATTACGCGGCTAAGCCTGAATTAGACATATATTGAAATAGGAACTCGTGTCAATAAAGTATAGTATCAGAAGTGAGTGGGAATCGCTCCTGGTTAAAAAACTGGTTCACGGGGATATGCGTATCTTCTAGTTAAGAGAAAGGAATCAGAGCTGCTTTTCATGCAGGAACAGGTTTTCTTCGGGCTAACTACAAAACTTCAGCTTATTTTACTCCTCGACATTGTCAAAGCGTATTTTGTAAAGATAACTTTTCCCGCTTTATCATCTTTTTTTATATTCTATTCCATTAATGTTCAACTTCCCTCAAAAAGCCAAGTAATATAAATGCTGTTGTTAAAAAAAGCGTTTTAGCTGTTTTCGTGAATTCGCTACCCAAAGATCAAAGGACAGGGCAAAACTTCCAGGAGAGAGGCATTATTTTTTTTTTCCCACGAGGTTACAAAGAGAAAATGCAATGATTATTATTAATGTAACCATCAGGTATACTCTACCCACGAGGTTACGAGCAGCAAATGCAGTGATTATTATTAATGTAACCGTCAGGTATGTTCTACCCACGAAGTTACAAAGAGAAAGTGCAATGATTATTATTAACGTAACCTTCAGGTATGTTCTACCCACGAGGTTACAGAGAGCAAATGCAGTGATTATTATTAATGTCCATTCAAAGTAGACAGACTGCAAATTATCTTAGTTGCTAAAAAATATATATCTATGTGTCGCAACTGTTCATCAGTAGGATGCCTAAAATGCGTGCAATTCCACAATCGGTTTCGGCTCCATTAAATCCTATACCAATTGCAGAACATTTTAGGAGGATCCACCCACCATGTGAGCACAGTCACGGACAATGTATAAGTGAGGAAAATAACGCAAAGTAAAATTAAGACGTTAATAAACGAACTAAATGTACACGTCAATTAAATAAATAAACAAATAATGCGTTCGCTCAAAATAAAATTGTACGCGCACACGTACCGAGATACAACTGAAATACAACACTACGCAATAAATAAGTAATGTAACCAACCATCAGGTATGTTCTACCCACGAGGTTACAAAGAGAAAGTGCAATGATTATTATTAACGTAACCTTCAGGTATGTTCTACCCACGAGGTTACAAAGAGAAAGTGCAATGATTATTATTAACGTAACCTTCAGGTATGTTCTACCCACGAGGTTTTACTGCTTGCGGCTCCTCGTGACAAAAAAGACTCTCATGCAGTGTAGAGAAAATTTTTTAGGTTAATATATCAATGATGCTAGAACGTTGAATTTCACCTCTCCGAAAAGCTATATATTTTTAATTAAGTGATTGTTCTCATGGTACTTGTTTATGTTGATGATAAGTTATAAGTTTCTTCTCAGAATAGACACTATTAGCTACTATTATAGCTGTAGAAAAATGTGTAATATAGATAACCAGAAAGTTGGTTTTCTTATGCGGCTAAAGATCCTTGTCACGACAGACCTATAATTTAACGGTATGTCATTTAGCATATCGTTTCTGCAAGTCGTCAAATATCTGTAAATTTAAACGACCTTTCACAAGCATCTGTTAGAAGACATTCTCTTCACAACTCAATAAACACAGTACCACAAGTCAAGAGTAAAACAATATGTTTTTCGTCTCCCACCTTCTCTCACCTACATGTATAATAATGATAATAATTATAGTAATAGTAATAATAATAATGATGGTCATGATGATGATTACCAATAGTAACAAGATTAAAAAATAAATCTAAGAAAGATGACATAAACTTCACTGAGCAAGAGAAGAGGAGAGGAAAAATGATTGCAGGAGTTAATTAATTTTCTCAGTCCTAATACTAATGGCATTCTAAGTAGTAAGAGGGCGGGTGTTTTTTTTAACCCTCGGACATACAAGAAGGGGAACGGGTTGATGGTAGATGCCACCCCCCCCGCCCCACTATGACGTTTCCAGTAGCTGTTCGATTTGAGACGAGTTTAGTGATGAACAGTTACTATGGTTACGAGATATGACGTCAAACGTAGTAGGTGGCCAGGCCATTTTTGAGCGAAAATGCACCTTTTTCAATTTGTTTCAACGATAAAAGCAATGCTTGTGGATACAATGAAGCAAAGAACTTATAAGTTATGTTATTTTACATGTGAAACACTTAACAAATAGAGTCCATGTTGCCGTGCGTCTGTTCAGTGATAGATCACAGATGACATCAAAATGTGGTAAAAAAAAAAAGTGGTGAGTCACTGACCACTAAAAGTTTTTACAACATTTTGACGTCTTCTTTGATCTATTACTGAACAGACGCACGGTAACATACAATCTATTCGTTTTATACAATGAACAGAAAAGAAAAACAACATACTTGCCGTACCGTTCGAGGATTTGTGCTAGTTTAGGCACTTTTTAAGTCACAAACGCTACTTTTCGTCTCCGCTTCTTCTTTTCTTCTTTATCTTACTTGTATGTAGTTTCTCCGAAAAGTTTCAGTGCCTTCTCTTGCTCAAAGCAAAATAATCGCGAAAATAATTTCAAAACTGCGACTAGGCTCCCCGTGTGAAATACCTCCATGGAATTCCATGGAAATCCATGGAAATCTATGGAAATCCATGGAATTCCATGGAAATAGATGGAAATCCATGGAATTCCACGAAACTTCCATGGAGTATCCATGGAGTTCCATGGAATGCCATGGAGTTCCATGGAGAGTATCCATGGAATGCCATGGAGTTCCCTGGAGTATCCATGGAGTTCCATGGAATGCCAGGGAGTTCCAGGGAGTTCTATGAAGTAGTGATGGAGTTCCATGGAATGCCATGAAATTCCATGGAATATGGTGGAGTTCCATAGAATGCCACGTGGGGTTCCCTGAAGTACCGATGCAGTTCCATAGAATGCCATAGCGTGCCCATGGAGTTCCATGGAATGCCATAGCGTGCCCATGGAGTTCGATAGAATACCATGCAGTTTGTATGAGAAAATCCATAGAAATTCAGTAATCAAGCAACTCATCAACTTGTTAACCACATGTTCAAGTCTGCACTTTTTATTTGATAGAAAAATAGGAAACATTTGGAAGCTTTCTAAAAGCAAAATAGCTAGTGCATTTAGTTTAAATTACACAGACAATGCAAAAGTATAATGTTCACCAACGCTGAAAGTCCCAGTGTAAGAAATTTTATTGCTAACTATAAAGAGGAATGTTTTGTGTGCTTAATAAAAAATGATCCTGTCCAAAAAAAATAAATATAGAAAATTATTTTTTAGTAGGGCTGTCTGCCATTATTTTATCTTTTAAAATCAGAGTTGCATTTAAAATATGAGAAGATCACTGTTATTAACAACATGCAGTTGCTAATCATTACATTGACACAGTGCCGCTATTCGTACAGGACCCGTACACCGACGTGTATTTGCTATGACATACGGGATCAAGTCTCTACTTGAAATTTATATGACATTTCTCAGTCTCTTGAAATTTCTGATCAACAAATTTCCATGAAAGTGTAAGTCTCTTCAACCACTGTTCCATTTTTAAGGAAAAAATTTCAGTAGCAAATTTTGAAAAGAAGAAAAATTCGATGTGGCAAGATTGAGAACCGATCCAGGGGCGTAGAATCCATAATTCGTAGCGTAACCACTCTACCGCGGAGTAGTAACTCGCTCCTAGGTGGAGTTTGATTTTATTCATATATAATAACAACAACAGTAACCCTAATTAGAGGCTAACCGTTTCGAGTCAGTGCTTAAATATACCTAATCAGTTTAGTCGAAATTCCGTATGAATAGCAAATACAAGACGATGTACGGGTCCCGTACTTAAATAGCCAGTACTGGAAATGATCCCACTAGGCACATAACTCTTCTCGGTATCGAAGTGTGTTTTGGTTGAGAGCTAAGATTTTCCCTATCACTCGAGTCCAACCTGCTGATTGATGAGATTACTTTGTATGAAGTATTTCGGCGAACCTACACAAGCAATATTAGAGTTTTTTTGCCGCATCCGTGGATAGGCTAGTCTGCTAGCTATCCCCACACAGCCGTGGGGAGGAGCGTTGCGTGACGACATTAAGAACGGCTGCGTATATCAGACTATGAATAGGCCTGCTGCCTTTTTTCAAAGGTTTCCTCACCTGGGAGAACAATGCAATATTTTCCTCTCACTGCCTTACTCTTCGACAGCGTCGGAATAGTACAATTAACTCTGAAAGTATGGTCGTCCGAACGTTTCAAAATTCGGTAAACTTAAATTCCTTGTCGCTATATTGAATTCGTTGTCGCTAAATTTAAATTCGTTGTCGCTAAACTTAAATTCGTTGTCGCTATCTTGAATTCGTTGTCGCTAAATTCAAATTCGTTGTCGCTAACTCGAAGTCGTTGTCGCTAAAATTAAACTCGTTGTCGCCAACTTGAAGTTGTTGTCGCTAACATTAAGTTTTTCGTTGTCGCTAACTATCAAGGCGCTAAACTTAATTCGTTGTCGCTAACTAGGAAGTCGTTGTCGCTAAAATTAAGTGAACTCGGTATCGCTAACTATACCAAGGCGCTAAAACTTACTAAGGGAGTGGAGAGAAGGGATTTGAAGGTTCCCGTATGAAACCGAGGAGGCCTAGGAACAAGTCAATTTTTCGTTTTTGGGCTTCCTATGTTTGGAAGCAAACATGGCGGCTACAAATGTATTTATCGGTTCGATCGAATCATTACTAAATGATATGGAAAGACTCAGTGAAACCCAAAATCCTGATGTCATTGACAGCATGATAAGTCGCCTCCAGTGTACGAGTGATACCACGAATCAACTGATGCACCGATCAACAAGTAACTATACAGCTTTGTGGTCTTTATACCAGCACTTGTTAGTTTTCCTCGAAAGTTGGCAGAATCGTGCTTGGAGAAGAAATCACTGTTGTTCTGTGCCCCATACTGTTAATAATCGTATTGCCCCTGATGAGGAAGAAACACAAGGAAAGGTAGGACGGCCCCAGATAAATGTGAGTGGAGAACAGATTGAATGCCTACGCAACATTGGCTTTACTTGGGATGCAATATCTGTCATGCTGTGTATCTCAAGGTCAACGCTATGGCGTAGATGTCATCAATTGGGTCTTACCTGTAGTCAACGATATTCCGAAATAAGTGATGAGGAGCTCGATGGAATCATGCGAGATATGGTTGCAGCGTATCCTAACTCAGGTTTGACCTTACTAAGGGGTCACCTCAAAAGACTAAGAATCATTGTCCAACGGGAAAGGGCTCGATTATCCATGATTAGAGTGGATCATATTAACGTGTGCATGAGGCGAATGAGGGTTATACAACGGCGTTCATATAGTGTTCCTGGCCCAAATGCTTTGTGGCACATTGATGGCCACCACAGCCTAATCAGATGGAGGATTGTACCACATGGCGGGATTGATGGCTTTTCAAGGCTCATTACTTATCTCCATTGTAGTACAAATAACCGGGCAGATACTGTCTTCACTTTATTTCAAGAAGCCATTGCCAAATATGGAGTTCCATCACAGGTTCGCTCTGACCGTGGAGGAGAAAACATTGATGTGGCCAAATTCATGATTGAAAATCGGGGGCTTAATCGAGGAAGTCAGATCGCAGGAACGAGTGTACACAATCAAAGGATTGAGAGGCTGTGGAGAGATGTATTTTCTCATGTGTTACAACTATACTATTCTCTCTTTTATTTTCTTGAAGATAATGGACTGCTGGATTGTGAACTAGATACCGACCTATATGCATTGCACTTCGTTTTTGTACCATTAATCAACAGAGCTCTTAAACAGTTTCACGATACTTACAACAACCACAGCCTGCGTACAGAACATCATTGGACACCATTAATGATCTGGACCAATGGTATCCTGTCATCAGAACATGCCAGAGAAACAGCTGTGCAAGATTTCTATAGCAGCGACAACCAAGATGTCAATATAGAATTCTTTGGAATAGATCCCGATGGCCCAGAATCAAATCCGTTTGACCTATTAGATGTGGAAATCCCACCTACAGAACTAGATGATTTGACTCAGCAACAACTGGATCAAATAGCTCAGATCAATCCTCTTCAGCCAGCTAATAACTATGGCATTGAATTCTATGAGAGAGTCCGAGAAATCATCAGCAGACACATGGGTTAGCTCTTGCACTTTAATTCAATGACTTGTGGGACTGCTATCAAAGAAAACCCTATGAGGAAAGGGGGAGTGCAGGCAAAATATGGGGATTCAATAGCAAACATGTGCCCTGGGGTTGGGAATTAGATAAGTAATCCTGCTATTTAGTTGACAATTTTTTTTCTTTAAACCTTCTCCAGCCCCTGAGCTTTTCGAATATTTTAAAAGGATTTTATCAAATTCCCACTCTCTGCTTCCACTACCCACCATCATGGGTTAACTCTGTTGCATTACCAATAACTAATAAAAATTCAAACACTTTAAAATGAACTGGAACAACAAGAGAAAAGTACAAACACCTAACTGAAAATAATATCATTTTGTTGAAAGACCAAAAGCTCTTCTGGGAAAACAGATGAGGCTAATATTGTTACACATTGAAGTTTGCAGATTTGGAAGGAATATTCAAGCTAACAAACAGTGAATATAGTTCCTGTTCTGTACATTCTCCAAATAGGATATTGACTACCCAGAAGACCTTTGGTCTTTAAAAAGCTGGAAACCAGTGCCATAATCACAGTTATAAGCAACAAACAGAGACCCTTTAATGCACTTATCAGTGTTTGTCTTTTGGAACACCATGGTGATAAATTTGACATTGAATTGCAAAATAATGTTGCTCACAATTATGCTTAGACATAGTGTTAACCAGGCCTTAGCTTCTATAAGCTACCGGTAACCCAACAATGTTTTGCCTTGAATTAGGCCATATATATAATAAATGTACATAACAGCTATATAAAGTATTGCATTAAGCTAAAATTCTGTAAAATCCCTATAAATCTATAAATGAAAATGGTGTCTGAAATTGCATCTTTCCTTTTAAAGTCAAACTGACAATTTGAATGTCTGCATTAAATGTTTAAAGATCATTAATAACAGTATTTCTCTCAAAAATATAGAAAAATGGACTTTGTTTGAAAGATGTTTAAAATGCCTTGTAAAAATAGCCTATTTCATTTCCCCAGAACATATTTAATTTTGAATAGACTTAATATATAAAAAGTTCTTGGCAATGTTACTTTGACAAATAATGCAGTGCGTGCCTAGTTCCTAAATGCTGTGTGTGTTGAGTACTGTGCTACTTGTACATCTAGGCCATATTAAAGGAGTGTCCCATGTCTCCCATAACAGCATACATTGACTCCTTGAATGACTGAAAGGAGTCAAATTGCTGCGGCAGGTGGAGGTGCTGCAAACATGTAGATGAAAATATGCAATCGTTCCCATCAAGTTTCACCTCAATTTTGCTCAAACCAGCACCTTTACGTGGTAGGTTGCCTGAACCCGTGGTGAATCTCAAAAACTGCTGAAGATCTGTAAAGAGATTAATAAAACTTTGTTTTACCAGCTATTCTTGTATGTCTTAATGAACACATGAAATTCATGTCATTAGGCAAATATCAAGTGTACCTTTCAAGGAACATTCATCTAAATATTTCATTAGCATGGCTGGAGTGCCGTCTACATCTGGCAAAGACAGGATCGATTTTACTTTCTCTGGCGTCAGCTCATCATCATGTTGTACAAAGTACTTTTCATAATTCATTGGGAAAGCTTTTGCTGCCTCAAGGAATCCCAAGATATTGAGGCCCTCTCGGAACTGGTCCAGACACACTTTTTTCTTGTTTATGATGAAATGAAGCATTATTGACTGGACTACTTCTTGCCTGTTTTCCATCTTTAAAACAAGCAAATTCTGGTGAGAAAACTATTTATCAACTAAATAGTCATAAATGTAATAGAATGTCTTGTTGCACATTCTTCAGTTTGTGTTGTGTTTGTATCCCTTGGGGATGGAATGGGTGTGAACTACGCAAGAGCCAGGGCCCTTGATGTAAGAGAGAGTGGTTTCAGATCCTGAAAAGAGTCTTAGAGAGTAGGCCTTACACTCCTGGTTAACCTGGCTTACCTTACACTCAGGGGTGGATCCAGGGGGTGGATTGGGTGGCTAGCCACCCCCCTCTTTCCAGGGTTTTTAAAAAATACCAAAAAAGAAAATGATTAGTTATTTCAGTCAAAAAGAAACATACCTGAATGTATACTAGAAGTGTCTGAGATGTCGAGTTAATTCCACAATTAATATTAATTTTTTTCTGGACTCAAAGAGTTGTCTGCAACCCTAGACCTATCCTTTCAACATTTTTAGGGTTAGCCACCCCCCCTTTGTAAAATCTTGGATCCACCCCTGACACTGCAAAGTTAACAGTAATGTACAGTGGAATCTGCTAGTAATCAAGCAATAAAAAAAAGCAAGTTGTCACATAAAGATGGCCTTACGTTTATTCTCTCCAAGATTCCAACATCTGACAGGAAATCTACAAAATCATTATCATTGTTCAAACTACCCAGGTCCTCTTCTTTCTGTGTCAAAATCTTGGAACACAAAAGACAAAATTTAGGGTTAGGGAGTGTTCATTTATGGGGAGGGGTGCTAAATGGGAGTAATCTACTCAGTAACAAAAAAATTGTGGTTAAACTTTAACCCCCACCCCCCTCCCCCGTCACAAATAATGACCACTCCCTTAGGGACATAAAGATGGGATCTATGCTGCTCAACCAGCCTATATACTAAATAAGGCTAAAAAGGATTAGACCTTTAGAAAAGAAGCTGCTTTGAATGTCAACTTTCCAGGGAAAAAACTAAAAATATCCCAGTAAAATACAGAGCATTCCCTTTTAATGACAAACCTTGTCAATTACGCTTAGTGCACCTCGATCCCTGATGTCCTCTGGGTTTGGATATGATAATGACCTTGACACATCATCTGTAATGATATACCAGTACAATACTGGCGAAAATACTAGCATGCCCACCCCACACTGAACTATAGAGTGTGCCAACATCTTGCCAAGTATTTTCATCAGCCCTGAAAAAACATGACTTGCGGAATACACTGGCATTAGTCGCCCTGGTGGTCCCTCAAACAGCTTGTATTGCTGGGAATCTTCCAGAGCACTAAATACCATGGAATAAAATTGTCTTCTTGGGCCACCTGTATCTACTGCTGGCTGCTTCTCAAATGTGATTCGTATTGGGCACCTTGCATCAAAATCAGGGTGTTTATAGTAGGCCAAAGCATCTTCAACAGCTGTTTCCTCAGTGACTGTCAGCCTGACTATCTTGCCATTGACTTGCCTCCTAAGCTTCTCATGTATTTCCGAGAATGTATTGTTCTCTGAAACATTATAGTGTTGTAAAAAGTCAAAAAATGCGTCACCAATTTCTCTACTAGTAAGTGTAGTACTCTTGACTATAAAACATATGATATCATAATTTATGGATATCAGCCAAAAGACAATGAAAATCATCATATATATCATCATCATCTCAGAATATAGAGGTTTATATTGAACAAGCAGTTCCATTCTGTATTCTGGAAATAAAGAATTGAGCACTATGTAACTCTATGGAAGAATCTTACTGTAAAGTGTAGTTTACACATAGAAATTTAATTGGTAGCAAGTGCAAGCACTTCAAAATCAATTTGACGTGATCGGCCTTCCTGGCACCAGTCATTGACAATCAGCAGAGTTCCTATACCTGTTCAAATTCTACACCAAGGACCCAGTTGGATCCTGTTTAGGAATAAGATCCTAAAAAAGATCATGAGAACAGGATCCTTTATAATTAGGATCTAATTACATAGGAGTACTTAAGGATCTCACACAGGACTGTATTTCTATGTAAGATCCTATCTTACCTTCTGTTTCTTGTTTGTTTACGTCAACTTGGTAGGCACTTCTTTGTGCTCTTTGTGCTCCCAAAATTTCTTCAACTGCCTCATCAAGTGAAGATGGTTCCTGGGAAACACTAGTTAAAATGGAGTTTTCGACATCTGGAAACATTTCCTTCAGCCTGTCAATCAACCCAACACCTGAAGAACTTGCAGAGCTTGCACTGCAACTAGGTTGTTCAGTACCACAGCTTGAATTTGGGGCAAAAGCTGATTTCATCAAGTCTCCATCTCCAATGACACTTTCATTGTCACTTACATGGATTAACTCATCTTCCTGCATGATTAAAGAACAGTTTGCATTATGGCATGAACTCCCAGTATTAACTATGGTTAAACAGGGACAAGCTAAAATTGCCTTTGTTGTGTACTTCCTTATTTCTGTGGATGCAAAAATGTAAGACCTACAGACAGGACAGAAAATGTTTTGCCTCTCCAAATAAGGACACCTTTGCATATATAAGCTCAAAATTTTGTAAATATGCTCTTTTGGGGCCAAAGAACAAAATATTAAATGACTTTTTTTTAATGAATGCGACTTTGAGAAATAAGGCCTCGTACTTTGGGGGAGGTGCTATTTTGATCAGCAAAAAATCTGACATTTTCATGAATATGTCCAAGCAGCTTTAATTCAATTCAACAGAATTTTTTTCACTAGTTAGGATAACAATAGAGACAAATGATATGCTTCAAAGTTTGGAAAATCACTTCAAGTTAAATCTTTAAATCATGAAAAGAGCTGCCCTGTCGTATTTCTGTCCTGTCATGCCTACCACAATTCCAAGATTCATTTAGTGCAGGTTATAGAAGACAAAAAATGTAAATTATGTAAACTAAACTTACTGTTGTGTCTAACTTGGTTATTATAATGCATGGTTTCCACTCACCATGAAACGAAGTTTACATGTATATCTTGGGCTGTGCAAAGCCAGTCTGACTTTATTATCATGTATGCTAATGAAGACTATGAGCAATAAGAAAGCAGTCCATGCGCTATGGGATCAGATAATTTGCTATTTTGTCACACAAATGGCAATGATTCAATGTAGGACTTGCTAGTATGGTATTTAGACTGAAAATGCTAGTAGTAAAAACAGAAATATGAAGCAACTTCTCAACAAACTTCTGTTAACAGATGCCTAAGCTTGTAACTTGGTAAAGGTACGATGTGGAACCAATTAATTCTACAGTAAAACATATAGGTCATGCAAACATATCTTACCTCTTTGACAGTAGAAGAAAAATCTTTTGTCATCCTAACATACAATGCTCCATGTTTGTAAATACCTCCCAAAGTACGAGCATCGAACATCTCATCTCCATCTGGAACACGAACTTTTTTGTTAACCACTTTCACAAATTCAAAATCATTTTTATCACATTGTGACAAATCAATATGTGAAACCCTTCGCTCTCTTAACTTTGCGGTGATTCTTTCTCTGATGGCATTCTCTGGATCAACCGTGCTATATCTGACTAGACCATCAAAGACCACCATCTCATCTTTGAATTGGTCAACTTCTGGGACATCTGCTCCTGGGTATTCCAGTGCTACCAATCTTCTAAGCTCTTCTTTTACTTGTACTTATGGCATTTTGCCCTTGTAAAAACTTCTTTTTGAGCCAGCTCTTTTTCGGTTTAACTTATCTGTCTGAGCATTGAACTGTGGCTGGACAGATGCTACATTGGTAGAGGAATGCATATTTGGATTCACAGTAGATTGACTGGACTGCAAAGATGCAAGGATATTTCTTGCTGATGTGACAGACGATGCAGTTGATGTACTAGACTGTGTAGGGCTAAAAAAAACCCTCCTCAGCTCCTCCTGGACAACATCCTCTGCAGACCATAGAAAATGATTTTAGTGTTGAACTTAACTTGGTATAGTATGCTGTCCATTTCTTGTACACCCAGTAATAACAATATTTTAAAAAAGATTGCTTAAACTGTTATGCTACATGATGCAGACATTGCCTAAAATAATGCACATTGCAAATTTAATACAGGGAAAAGAAAGGGGAGAGGAAGGGAAGCCTAAATGTATCATATGGATGAACTATTCTGCCCAATTACCTATTATTCAACGGCCTCTTATCATCAACGAGAGTGCTTAAAAGCCCGCCCCCCCTCCCCCGCCACCCCTTCCCCGCCCTCATTTCCTTCTCCTTGGTACCCCAGAAGAGCCATGTCATAAACCTGAAAAATGTCAAGCAAATGCTCTCGTAAATTAATTTTTGTCTTATGTATGAGCCTAAATAGTTTGATATATGAACATACGCGAAGCTTCTCTACTTATTCTTTTGATATTCAGCCGATCCCCAATTGCATTTGCCCCCAGTCGCTTCAAGTCGTCATCTGCTACTTCTCCGCGACATATCATGGACAGTGTTACCTAGATAGCAAAGACACAATTTAATTTATGACACTGGACACCAAAAACAAATTCCACTAACAGCAAGTCCAATAATAAATTTGCATTTTGCTGCAAACACTGCAATAACACTGGAGAACAACTTACCTTCTCATTGCGAATGGCATCGACAATATTGTTAGCGACACCATTCGCCTTAAGAATGTTACATCCCTGGAGAAGAGGAAAAAAATGTAAGAAAAAAATGTTTGTTGTAAAATCAAATCAATGTATGTTTTGATATTACATGTCACTATCACACGCGATGCTTGACCTCCGCGACCCCGGAGTGCAATGTGAGAAGTGAAAAATCAGTTACTGTGCCCAGTAGGCTAAATGCTCCAATTGTCCTTTGACGGTTGAACAATTTGACCCTGCCAGCCCGCATCGGTTTGAATTGTCGACGTGACGGTTGGAGTCCGTTGCGGGTCTGCTGTCGACTCGCCTCACCTCAGCCGTGTATTGCCCACTTCGTTGGCGATTTAGGACCTTCGAAATGGGAATTCTGGCGATGTGAATGATGGAAAATGTGCGTTATTTATCAGGACATCCGTTTCTGGCGGAATTGTCTCCATGTCGCAAATGTCACGGAATTTATCGCCTCCGAGAGCGGAGCCGGTCAAGAGAGGTTTGCCAACCTTCTCTTCTCTTCTATCTACTGTCATCTGGGTGAAAAACGGTCGCTCCAAAAAAGGCCTTAAACAGTGCCTAGGAGGTCTGAAATGCAGTCAGAATACAAAGAAAAACAAGAAGACGCTAAAGGTAAGCTTCAAAGCGATATTCAATGTACATTTTGCTAATTTAGTGAGCAAAGAATATTTCTCCATACAACGTCTTATAATTTTCTTGCTGTGTGAATAATTAATTAGCTAAGTGGGATAATGTTGTTCACGGCTCTCATAGTGAGCTTGGGCTACCTGTGGTCTGTACTGGTTTACATACAATAGCTTGGTGCTAAGGTAAGATAAGTTGCATTTCCAGCAGAGAGATTCTCAGAGTACTTTGTTTAGACGAGTTTTTAACGCAATTTACCAAAACTTAATCTCGAAATAATGAACCACTCATTGCCAGTTTAGCATGTTATCCCTGATTATACTCGAATTCAAGACTCTGCTTATCGAATGATAAAAGGTGCACGTATGTTACGTTACAAATCGGTTTGTAGAAGGGTAATTACGCTAACTGAAACGGTACTCTAAAATGGTACAAGTCTGAACCGTGGAATTACTATTACTAAGAGGTTAAAACAAAGACATAACAGCTCACATATACTATAATATTAAATAGCATAAATGTTTAACAGATTTAAGCCCCGGGGGATGTGTCACGCGTTGTCATGAGCTATAATTAGAACTTCGGAAATTACTTGAGTAGTAATGGGGGCCACCCTGGTACAGACCAATCAGAAAGCCGGATATAGGTCACGTGGTACAAATGGACCAATCAGCGTGCAGCAGAAGGTCATGTGACCTGTCAATCAAATTTTCATGAAATGACGTCATAGGGGTGATGACGTCACAGGGGTCATGACATCATAGGGGTGTGGTCATGACGTCATAGGGTTGATGACGTGTTGTAAAAGTGTGTCACGTTATTGTGTGGCCCCTGTAACCCTAACCCTAGAGCCCTGTTACCCTCACTCTAACCCTAAGGGGCTCTTATATTGGTAGACGAACTTGAATTCTCCTCCATGTGGGAACACTTCAATTCGCGAGGGCGCATGCGCAGTAGGTAAACTTGGGTTTTTGGGGGGTAAACGGCGTTCCCCTTCACCCTGACCCTAACCCTAGGCTGGGGCAAGGTCGAGGTCCCCCCCGACAGTCTTCTCTCCCCGGTGGTCACGTGGGTATTCCCTAGGGAATTCAAAAAAAGGAAAAAAAATAAACACATTTTTTTTGGCACAGGTTTCAACTCGGGTTTATTACACTTGAACCCTAACGTGTTACAAGCGGGAACGTGTGCCCGACCTTAGTGGTGTGGGGCGTCCCTAGTCGACTCTGATCTTCAGAGGATTGTACAAGCGGGAACGTCGACCCGAACTCGTGGTGGTGGTGGTGGTGGGGCTGGGTGCTGGGGTCAGAGCGTTCACAGGTGACTTCGGAACACGGCTTGGATGTGGAGGAGTCCCTTTTCTTGGTTCTCGATGCTGTAGAGTATGTCTTGGTAGTGGGCGTGGGTACTGGGATGTTCTTCGGGTGACTGTTCGAACAAGTACCGTACAGTATCTCTGAGGCCTTTCAGGTTTTCCCGGCACGTCTCTAGATTTTGGACACAGGTGGTGTAGGCGAATTCGCACGATCGTCGCTGCTTGTCCGCCACGTGGGGGTCGATCAACTGGCGCCTCACTTGCTCGCACATGCGGTTCAGACGGCATTCGTAGCCCCAGTCTAGGTCCATGGAGATGTTTTCTCTCAGCTCCCATAACGTGTCCAAGTAGTCGTCCAGGTAGTCTCGATTGAAGGCCCTGGGTGCCATGATCGGGAACTTGGGTGTGCAGCACGAGAGCGACCCACACGAAGGTCAACGAGAATACAGTGATGGGTGCGATGAACAGCATGATCTGTGTCGAGGTGCAGGGTCAATGGGAGGGCGACTTATATGGACCTCTAAGAGGGGGGCGCAAAGCCCCTCTGGGAAGGGTCTATAAGGAGGGGGGATACCCCCCCATCCCCCCTCTTTTTCGAGGGGTCGAACGGGGTGGATGGGAAGGCACGTGACCCAGCGTATAAGAGGTGGGACCGGTTCCGACTCAAGTTGTCTGCAGTTGGTCTTTGTTCAAAGATGGCGGACTCTTTGCCGGTGGCACCGTTTGGTCTTTCTGTGTTTCCTGAGGTTCGTGTACTCGACGATGTTCCTGTCCCCGACGATTTGCCGGTGTTACCGGACGAGATTTACCACATGATTGCGAAGATGTATCGATTGGCGACGGTGGAGGATCGCGATGCGAGTGGGTGGTGGCAAGTGCGCCAGGAGATGCGTTATTTACCCCGGTGCCCCAAACGCAAGCGCCTCATCAACCTCGAGGGGTTTTCTGTGCCTCGTCGTGGTAACCTGTTGCGACCCGTGACGGGCTATTTTTACCGGCGCCTGATGCGCACGATGTTCGGCCGCTATGGTGACGCCCGGTTCTATCGTTGGTTCAGGGCTACCTTTGGGGAAAGCGACTACATCCGGCCCGACCAGGCAGTCGAGTGGCCTTTTGTTTACTGTCACTATTGCGAGGAGGGTCACGAGTGTGGGGATGAAGAAGAAGAGGAAGAGCGGGAGTACCAGCGGGAACAGCGGGCCTACCGCAAGAAGATGCGGCGTGTGAACAACGTGTGGGCCCAACGCGACTGGCAGACACGCCTCCGCCCTCGCCGCCCCAAGACCTAAACCCACTCACCCTTCAATATTTACCAGGGACCCCCTTTGGGGTCCCGCCCACATTTGCAAAAGTCAATGATCAACCTTCAGATTAAAAACACATTTTATTGTTTTCATCGCTCGGGTCGATCGCGTTGCGCCAAGTCTTGCACGTAGCGCTTGTAAGCCTCTCGGTATTGATCTTGCAGGTGAAGGAGCATCTCGGTGTGATCGTGATGGGCTTGCAACCCTCGTCGGATGCGTTCTCGGAGATACTCGTCGAAGGTGCGATAGTCCTCGAGGCGTAGACGTCGATGGTACTCGGCATTCATGAGGACAGCGTGTCTCGAGTGCGTTGGAAGAGCGATATGAGTTGCAGGTGGTGCAGCGGCAGGGAACGGAGGCCCAAGACGGCACTGCGTGGATGAAGCACCGGAAAGGTCGACGTCGAGAGTGGTGTGAAGGTCTGGTCGCCGGGGGCGCGTTTATACCATTGCCCGGTGGTGACGTCACACAGCCACAACGCTTTGCCCAAGGACGAGGCTAGTTCGGTCAAGCGGCCGGTCTCATCCATGTCCCGTAGGGGGGTGTACGACCCAAAGAGGTAGACGGTGTGCGCGTCGCGGAGCACGTGTTGGGTCGGACCCTCGATGAGGTGAACGGTCATCCCCTGGTGGTCGGCCAAGTCGGCGATTTGGTTGTCGGGGGTGTACACCGTGTAGTCCTGCAGTTTGAGCATGGTACCGAACGAACGACGTTTTCTTCTCCGTCGCCTGGCTGGTCGTGACATGGGCCCTTTTTGCATGACTGGCCTGGATTCGGGGACAGAGAGGTTTATTTATAGAGCACGGGGTGAGCACGTGAGGGGCGGAACCCGACCTGACCTATCACGGGGAGTTGGGTCCTTATAAGGCGCGGGTGACGTCATGGGGACACGTGGTCGACCGGGAGTATAAAACGGCGCGGGGCACCTCGTGCGGCCTCGTTTCATCATGGCCGCTTGTACGAGACACCCCACGCATCCGGCCCCCGTGCCGGCCGGTCGTGCCAAAGGCAAGAAACGTCGAGCGGAGGATGCGTTGGAAGATAAGACGGAGGTGTTGGAGGAAGGCGAGTTGGCCGCCTGGTTCTTGAACGAGATGGATCAGGCCACGCAGACGGAGCCCGTCCCGTACGCGCCCGTGGACCGACCCGGGGTGTGGATGTGCCCGTTACATCCTGAGGAGACCTTGTCCGAGGGTCGTAAGGACGAGTTTGTCTATGTGTACTGCCCGCGCGACACGTGTCCCGTGTTCAGTCCCCAAGATCGCGTGGACGAATGGATGACTTTGGTGACCCAACAGTTGCACGAGGAATTGCGTCAACGATGGGATGAACTGACGTGTTTTTGCGATCGACGGTTATCGCTGCGCAAGAGCGGGTCGGAGAAAAACCCACAGCGCATGTACCTGGCCTGTCGCGACGGAAGTTGTCGCTGTTTCCTGTGGTTGAACCTGCCGTTGTCGGGCAAGATGCGTCGTCAAGTCCGTGGCGAAGACTGGAGTAACAGTCACCTTCCCCGGGCCAAACGAGATTGCTTGGCCGCCCGCATGCGGGGCGTGGACGGGTCGACGACCAAGGGGTTCATGATGTGCGACAATGGCTACAACACCTTGACCTCTCCGGGCCTGTTCGAAGGACTGAGGTATCGCCCGTGGATGCACGGCGCTTGGGAGGAGTATCAAGGGGCCAGCACGCCGGACGCCCGTCGTCAAGTGTTGCTGTTGGCGTACGCCCGGTACGAGGGGGAAAACGGCCATCATCCCGAGAGTCCGCGGGTACTGAGAGAGTTCAATCAATCAATCAATCAATCAATCTTTATTTAAACACGGTAAAATCCATCAGGAATTTAAAAATTAAAAATAACCTAACTATCCTAAACAAAATTCAAAACCTGACTACAACTAATCTAACTAAAACCTGTTTTTCATGAATGCCGTGTATAACATTAAAAATGAACATTAACTAATCTTTTAAATTGACTAAGAGATTCGGCTTCTCTCACATGACAGGGTAGGCTGTTCCAGAGAACTGCTCCGCTATAAGTAAAGCTGTTTTTCATGAAATTAGTTCGCGGAAATGGGACAAATAGTTTGTTAACAGAGTCCCTCAGGGAGTAACGCGTTTCATTTCGTTTAACAAACTTAGATGATAAATATTCAGGAACAAGGCCATTTAAAGACTTGTATACCATTATGGATTTCTGTATTTGAAATTGAGTGCTCAAGTCTTTCCAATCGAGTTGTCTAATCAAACGGTTAGCATCAGCATCATAGCTAGAGAAGGTTAAAACGCGAGCGGCACGGTTCTGAAGCTTCTGTAGCCTGTCAAATAATGTTTTACCACAATTACCCCAGACAAGATTGCAGTAATCGAAATGAGATTGAATTAGTGAGTTGTATATATAGTGAAGGGTAGGTGGAGGGACAAAAGGTCTAATTCTTTTTATTGCTCCAATTCCGGAAGCGACCTTTTTAGATAATTTATCAATGTGTGTTTGCCACCGTAGATTTTCATCAATAAATATTCCAAGCGATTTGACAGAGGAAACGTGTTCTATCGGAACATTATTAATCGAGAGCTCAAGTGGGTTCGACAAAGTACTCAATTTTTGTCTGGAGCCAATTAGCATGAATTCAGTTTTAGAAGTGTTCAAAGTAAGTTTATTGGAAATAAGCCATTTGTTTAGGTTATCAAAATCGTGACTCAGAGTTAACTGTATTGAATTCACATCAACGCCAGCATAAGTAATGTGGGTGTCATCGGCATACATTCTAGGCTGGCACGAAGTAAGGCAGTTTGGCAAGTCATTAATATAAATAAGAAATAAAAGGGGCCAAGGATTGTTCCTTGCGGTACCCCACATTTAAGAGAGCAGATTCTAGAAAGAGAACCGTTAACAAGACATCGTTGTGTACGATTAGTTAAATACGACCTAAACCAATCAAGAGCTGTACCTTGTATTCCGTAAAGGTTCATTTTAGCTAGAAGGATATCGTGGTCAACGGTGTCGAAAGCCTTTTTAAATCGAGGAAAACCACAGCATTAACATTGCCACGATCAATATTAAAGGCCCAATTATCCGTAGCTTCCAGAAGGGCAGTTGCAGTTGAGTGTAACGAGCGAAAACCCGATTGATGATTAGAAATGATATCTTCATTGGTCAAAAAGTTATACAACTGATCATAAACAATCCTTTCAAACACTTTAGCTATAACGGAAATGACTGAAATAGGTCGATAATTATTCAGATCAGATGGCTCACCTTCCTTGAACAACGGAGTAACTCTAGCACATTTCCAATCATCAGGAAATATACCAGAGACTAAAGATTTATTAAAGAGATCACATAGTGAAACTGAAATAAGATCAGCACATTCACGTACAATTTTAGCAGAAATATTATCAAGGCCAGTTGCTTTAGATCTACATAATTTGTTTAGATGTGAGAAAACAATGCTGCAGTTAGTCGAGGAGAAGCTGAAATTGTTGTTACGAGCATTGCGCGAGCATTGGTTGGAGGGGAAACCCAAAGTGTGGCGCGGCAGTGTCTTTACCGCCGACGAGCTGGACCGGTTGAACGGCCAGTCCCGGTCGGACCCTGCCTGGTGGCAGCCACGTCGGGATAGTGTACACCAATAAAAAAAATAAGAAAGAGAGTCGACTGTGTCTTGTCGTGATTGCGCGTGCGATATGAGGAAGAAGCAGCAGCGCCGCGTGAGTTGGGCGGAGGCCTACGAAACGCCCTCGTTGCGCGGGAGTTTGGGGGGTGTCGCGCGTTTGGCGCAAGCGCACGGCGTGCCGGTGAGTCGTGCCCGTGCGAAATTGCAAGGGTTGTTGAGTTACACCTTGCACAAACCGCGACGACGACGGTTCCCGACCTTACCGGTGGTGGTGCATGGGATGGACGACCAATGGGTGGCCGACCTGGTGGAGATGCAACCGTTGAAAAAATGGAATCGGGGGATGCGCTATTTGTTGACGGTGGTGGATGTGTTGTCCAAATACGCGTGGGTGGAACCGTTGAAGAGCAAGACGGGCGTGGCGGTGGCCGCGGCGTTCGAACGCATCCTGAAACGCGCCCGAGGACGCCACCCCGTGCGATTGCAGACGGATGCCTGCAAAGAGTTTTACAACCGCTCCTTTCAGGCCCTGATGACGCGTCGAAAGATTCATCATTTCTCGACCTACGGGAATACCAAGGCGTCGGTGGTGGAACGATTCAATCGCACCTTGAAAGAACGCATGTACCGGTACTTTACCGCCCGCAACACGTACCGGTACGTGGACGCGTTACCCGCGTTGGTGCAGGGCTACAATGTGACCAAACACCGCAGCATCGGCATGGCCCCTCGCGACGTGACGTGGGCCAACCAACGCCAAGTGTGGGAACGTTTGTACGGGAAACGTCTGGCGCGCCGCGTGCGTCCCAAATGGAAAGCCGGGGATCGCGTGCGTTTGCAGAAACAGCACCGTCCGTTCGAGAAAGGCTATCTGCCCGGGTGGACCGAAGAGGTCTTTCTCATCGACCGGGCCGTGCCGGGACCCGTGGCCACCTATAAAATCAAGGAGTGGGACGGCACGCCCGTCAAAGGCACCTTTTACGAGCAAGACGTGCAGAAGGTCGACGTGCCGGACGACGCGCTGTTTCGCGTAGAGAAAGTGTTGCAGCGTCGACGCCACGAGGTCAAGGTGCGTTGGAAAGGCTGGCCCAAAAAATACGACAGTTGGATCCCCAAGCGTAGTCTGGCCTCACTAAAATGAGTCGTCGGGTGGCCTTGATGCCCGCCCCCGTTGCGGGACCGTTGGCGGCACCGTTTGGTCGTATGCAGAGTGCCCCGCTACCTAGCCAAAAGACCTGGATGGATATGATGGAACGGTTGGAGGCCAAGTACGGACCCCAAGCCAAACGCACCAAGAGAAGGAAGAAGAAGAGGGTCAAGAAGGTCAAGAAGGTCAAGACGGTCAAGAAGAAGCGACCCTCCAAGAAGGCCCAGCGAGCGTTCCGGGCCAAATTGCGAGGCATGGTCAAGCGCGGGAAGAGCGTCAGTTTGGACACGACCTTGCGTCAATTGGTGCAAGCCTTTCCCCAGGCCGATCACACCTTAAAGGTCAGGCCCAAACGCTCCAGTTTGAATAGCACGGTGGGCCGGGTGCCCGGGTCCAAGCGTAAATTGAATACGTTCCTATAAAAAAAGAGGTCCGACGTCCACCCGACAGGAGACGCGAGATGGAACCGTCGAGTCGATCACTATACGTCACGCTGCTGAGTAACACCAGCAAGCCGGAGTTTCCCCACAATACCCCGGCTTCGTTCAAGGTACGATTGCCGTACCCTTTGCGCGTCAAGAACTGGCAAGTGGGTGTGGCCGGGGTCTACTTACCCGGACCCCCCAACACGGTGTCGCATGGGGTGACGTCACATCCCGTGACGACCACCACCACGCCGGTGGCCCCTCTCACGGAACATCGACAGTCCAATTTGTTCAGGGGATCGGCCAACCAACGATTGGCACGCATGTATGCCCGTGCCATGAAGGAAGACGATTCGACCAGTACGCAAGATATCACCGTGACCATGGAGGATGCCGACATGCCCGAAGCCACCACGGGGGTGACGTTTATGAAAAAAGTGGTCCGTTGGTTGGAACAAGACAAGCTGACGAAACCCTATCCCAAGTATGTGTTTGGGACCGCCGAAGTGAATTATGATCTTCGGTTCGAATGGAAGGACGAGGCGGGGGTACCGACGTTGTGGATCCTGAATGATAAACTCAACATTACCTACAACAAACCGCGCCCTTACTTGGGGTTCAATCAGGTGATGGCTCAACAAATGGGATGGTTGGTGAAAAAAGAGGACAGGTCGTATACCCTGGGGCCCAATTTGTTGATGTTCCCGCATGTGAACCGGGTCAAGTCCCCGAAGCTCTCGGCCGATGGGGATAGGAATCAATTGTTCACGTTTTCCAACTACGTGCACGTGTACCGAACCATGTTGTATCTGTCCATGGTGATGGATTGGCAGTTTGTGAATTTGGACGAAGCCTATGCTCGGGCCACCACGCACGTGTACGTCCCTCCCAAGGTCCTGTGGAATCATTTCCGATGGATCATGGACGACGAGAGCGTGTGGCTCAAGGATGGAGGGATTAGTTCCTTGGGGTTTGTCAATCTGGAAGGGTCCCCCCATTATTGGAAGAAGAAGACCGTGGGCATGATGTTGACGAAAAGCGGCAACAAGTACGAACCCAAGTTCGGTTGGGTCATCGGCACCACCAAGCTGAAAATGGGGCTCACGTATCGAATCGTGATCGAGGTCTACACGACCGACAAGGTCTTGTTCGACAAGACGCGCGTGAGTGCCGCGAATAATTTGTACGTGCAGATGATCGATTCGGCGTTGACGACGCACGTGCATGAATACCTGGGCACGCACCTGGTGTATTACCATCGCCTCGTGCAAGATTTCCGGTTGACGCAGGATTCGGACCGGACGTCGCGGTTGTACATCACGGTGACCATCGACGGCGTGCCCACCTCGTATCCGGCCACGTTGACGGATCAATGTTACGTGGTGGTCTACGGGTACACCATCGGGGCGCCGTGGCCACCCATGAGTCAAGTCGACGACGTGTACGACGATCATCCGGTCATTCGACGAGACACCACCACCACGTCCACCAGCAGTACCACCGAAACGACCACCAAGCCCACGCATAAGGGGAGTCAAGACAAACAGAAAAAGACCACGATGACGCCTGCGACGCACGGGGAGCAGGCCACGCGTCCGGTGCACCTGTACTGCAATGTCGGCGAGAGCAGCATCGTGGGCACGCAGATCACGAACTTCTTGCGAGACCTACCCTATAAAGACCAACCCATCCGGTGGGAACTGGAACACGTGCAGTATCACCGGGTGCGTGGAGACACGCTGGAGATTCTCGAAGTGGAAGTGGCCGAGACGAACGGCCAGTTGATGACCTTGAACCCAGCGGGAGAGACGCAAGTGACGTTGCATTTCCAGGCATGAATCGTATCGTGTTGGTCAGCGATCCGACCAAAGAGTTTCCCACCAACACCACCAGTTCGTTCAAAGTGCGCCTGCCCGTGCCTTTGGAATTGAAGGGGGAAGGATGGAAGGTGGGGCTGGCGGCCATCTCCACCCCGGATGCCGCCTTGGACTTGTCGAGACTCACGACGGCCGTCAACCCACGCGTGCTCATCCTGGGCTGCAAGTTGGTGGGCAGTTTGAGGCCCGACGTCATCCCGTACCACCAGCTGACCACCATGCAGATCAAGGATATCTTGCACGATCCCGGCGTGGTGGATGGGGTGAGTCTGATGAAATCCCTCATACGAAAATCGCAGTCTTACGAGATGGTGGCCGCCCAACAGAAGGGGAAACGGCTCTACGACAAGTTTCGGGTCACGTACGAATGGGACGGCGAGGACCTGCGCATGCTGGCCAAGGAGTTGGACGACATTGCCTTGACGACCGGCATGTCGTTCGTGCAATGGCACGTGCACGTGTCCATGGCCAAGTTGATGGGGTGGTTGGTGGAGACGGGGAAGGACAAGTACGCCTTGGGACCCAATCTCCGTTACGAACTCATTTACAAGACGCAGAATTCGGGGAATTATTACAAAGACGTCAAGAACACGGAACTGAACAACCACGACCTGTGGAAAATAGAAAGCGACCACTTACAATTGAGTCAGACCCTCAATTGGCGCTTCAGTAACTTGAACGTCGCGTTCCGAGAGGTGGTGGGGGAACCTTCGCGCACCTTTCTGGTCTACTCGGACCTGGTGGACAGCAATATCGTCGGCGGCCAACAACATGCGCTGGTGCGCGAAGTGGAGTACCGGCGCCAAGGCCAGGGCGTGGCCTACTTTGAACCCTTGCACATTCAATGGTTACCGTGTCGGCGCGAGTACATGGATCTCGTGGAGGTGGAAATCGCCGAGAGTCACGGAGGGTTGGTCAAGTTCGGCTCGGGACGCACCCTGATCACCTTCGTGTTCAAACGAGACGTATAAAAAAGGCGCGTGCCTCGGGGGAACGTATCACATCATGTGGGGAGGCAGTCTGACGCGGTACCGTCCACCACCCCTGCCACCGCAGGATGGACGAGGACTTCGAGAGGATCTCTATCGTTTGGGCGGACCGATTCTGGCCAGTGCCGTCCAAGTCGGGGCGCGGGCGGGCGCCCAAGGGCAGTCGTGGCGCGGGGTGGCACGGGCGGCCGGCCAAGAGATAAAAAGAGGGTTGAAACGCAAGGCTCTCCCCATTGCTGCCACGGTTGCCAAGAGGTCGGCGGCATCGACGGCCAAGAAAGGGTATCGGAACACGGTCGGACGCATTCGCGACGTGCTGGGCGTGTAAGAGATGACGCGTCCACGAAGGTTGGTGGTGCAATCCCGGCCTCGTTATCAACGGAGCGTGCCCTCGCCGTTTGCACGACAACGAGGAGGATGGATTAGTGCGAGCGTGCCCAAACCGCCCGCGTACGACTTGACCAAATGGTTGTTGGCCCGACAACGTCGCGCCCAGCGCGGAGGATGGATCAGTGCCAGCGTGCCCAAGCCGCCAGGGTACGACCTGGCCAAATGGTTGTCGTCCAGGAGGCGTATAAAACGACGACGCCGCTGAGGAGGAGACGCACTCGTCGTCCTCGTCATCATGAGCAGTTTGGACATTTTCTCGGTCCCATCGACCGACTATGATTTGCAGGGCTACAAAATGGTGCCCTACCACAAATTGAGTGCTAGCATCACCCCGATGAAGTTCTCGGTGCAGGCCTTGGAAGATTACGTGGATTTGAATCGCAGTTATTTTGTCGTCGACTTGCGTTTGTCCACGTCGGGTCAGAACGGTATCGTGGCCGATGCCAATTCGGCGTCGAATGCCAACAACACCAAGTTCACGTACGCCGTCAACAACCTGGCCCACACCATCTTCAAGCAGATCAACGTGCGGTTCAATGGTACCCTGATGACCGAACAGACCGACACCTATCCCTACTCGGCCTATTTCCAGACCCTGCTCAACTACAGCCAGGATGATGGAGAGACGTTGCTGGCCCCTCAAGGTTGGGTCAATTTCTTGAACGTGACCCCGACGCTGGCCGCCGCGGGCGGCGACGACGACATCAGTACCACGGCGGGCTGGGCTCACAATAACGAAAACCTGCTCAAGACCTTGACGACCCCTTTCCGGGGCAATGCTGTGGTCCGGATGATCATGCGGCCGTACCTACCCATGTTCCATACAGGCAAGATCATGGTGCCCGGGGTGGAAATGAATTTTGAGTTCCACTTCAACAGTCCCGATTTCTACACCTTTGCTACCCTGACCAGTGGCACCGGCGTCAAGAACTACGTTCGGTTGCGAGAAGAAGATGTGGACATCACCTTGCATTTGTGCCGACTGAATCTCAACCCGGATGTCTACGGCTCCCTGGAACGGCAACGCAAGCTCAGCAAACAGGTGGTCAAGTACCCGGTGGTGAGTGATCAGATTCGCACGTTCTCGTTCAACGGGGCCACCACCGTGTGGATGGAAGATAATCTCTTTCTGGGTAGGGTCCCCCAACGCATGATCGTGGGGATCTTGGACAGCACGGCCTTCAATGGGGCCAAGGAAAAGTACCCGTTTGCCTTCCAGAGCAAAGGGGTGACCTCCATTCGACAGTTTATCGAGGGAGAAGAGTACCCGTACGTCACCCTGGAATTCGCCGGCAATAATACCCTGAAAGATTGGGAAGGCTATCGTCGCTTCTTGGACGCGGCCGGGTCCGTGGCCAAACATCGCGAGTTTATGGTCAAACCGGGCGATTGGGGGCACAACAAGAATTGTACCCTGTACATGTGGAACAACGTGCCCAGCGGGAACGCCGATGGTCCCCAACTCAATCCCAAGCAGACCGGCAACGTGCGGCTGGAGATCAAGTTCCGAGCGGCCCTGAATGCCAACATCACCATCTTGGTGTGGGGCGAATTTGAAAGCGTCATCTACATCGATCACCTGGGCGCCGTGGCGTATGATAACAAAGTGTAAAGGGTTCCAGGGCGTAGTTGGACCATGGAACTGGTGGCGTTGAGCGATCGTCAATTGAGAGCCTTGGCGCTCTCCGACCCCGAGTTGAAGCGCGTGTTCCAAGGCGTCTATCCCTCCGATCGATTGCCCGAGCGTCCACCCAAGACCACCCGAGGCGCCTACATCGTCAACACGGACCCGGCCGGCGAACCGGGTTGGGTCTCTGGACGGAGCAGGGGGTGTGCGACGTGATGGATAGTTACGGGTTGCCGTTGACCGTCTACGACGCCCCGGGCTTGCACGAGTGGATCGCCAAGCATTGGAAGTACGTAGTGCGTAGCGACAGGACCCTGCAGGCCTACGACAGTCGGGCCTGTGGCCACTATGCCTTTACCTACCTGCAAGACCGCGTGCGTGGACGGTCCTTGCTGGAGTTTGTGGAAAGTTTTCGAGACGGCGATTACGTGTGGAACGATCATCGCGTGGGGGAACGCGTCCGGGCTTGGATCGAGACCAAACTGGACGAAGCCGCCATGGACGAACCCGATGGACCGGAGTCGCAACGCTGTGTGTCTCGACGTTGTTTATTGCCTTCATTAAACGAGTCTTAAAAGCTTGATCAAGGTGTGTGTTTTTTTGTGGGTCCCACAAGGGGGAGACGACGACTAGGGACGGACATATAAAGGGGACGAGGGTCAGGGAGGAAAATGGGTGCGGGGGGTCTCCGCGCGAGCGGTCGGTCCGATGTCCTCCAGGGTTCTCTCCCGGCCGGTGGTGGGCACGTCCGGTGTTCCTAACAAATAGTGCTACCCTGGGACAAAAGTAGACCGAGTCTGGCCGCGGGGGTGCCCCGTACTCAAAAAAGGGCCCTTAGCTCAGGGGGTAGAGCGGCGGCTTGGCCAGCCGCGGGTCATCGGTTCGAGTCCGATAGGGTCCACGCCACGTCGTCGCGGGCGCTCCATAAAACACCGGTGCGCTCGCGGCGACGTGATTTTTTTTGGGTGAAAACATGCTGACGCGACAAGATAAGCGACGCGTCCTGGAAGCCTTGGACGAACGTCTGTTGATGGAACTGTTGCTGAACCCTGTGGACGCGTTGTGCGACACCTGGGACTATGGCCACTATCGAACCTTTCGTCGATTGGTGTGGGCCAGCGATTGGGTGGGGTTGGCCCGGGCCTTGGACGCCTGCCCAGAGACCACCGTGGTCGAGACCACGCGGACCCTGATAAAAGAGGCCTCGCCGCGATTGTACGCCATGGTGACGCCATGATTCGTCATCCCTGCAACACGCTGGTGGGCGGCCCGTCGGGGTGCGGGAAATCGACGTGGACGCGCGGGTTGTTACGTCACGCCGACGAACTGATGCACCCGCCTCCTCGGGTGAAACATTATTGTTACGCGGCCTGGCAACCGACCTTGACGAGATGAAACAAGAGAAGGTCCAGTTTCACAAAGGACTGCCCACGTCGGAGGAGTTGGACCAATGGTTCGGTCCCACGCAAGGGGGACTCTTGGTATTGGACGATCTCATGGACGAAGGCGCCAACGACAAACGCGTGTTGGATCTCTTTTCCAAGCACTCGCATCATCGGAACATTAGCGTCCTGTTCTTATGCCAGGATCTCTTCCCGCCCGGGAAATTCGCCAAGACCATTTCGTGCAATGCGCATTACATCGTGGCGTTCAAGAACCCGCGGGATCAAGTGGGCATGCGCACGTTGACCCTGCAAGCCTTTCCCAACGACTGGTCGCACGTGATGAACATCTTTCGCGAATGCACTCAACGCCCGTTTGGCTATTTAATGCTGGACTTGCATCCCGCGTCAGACGATCGGTACCGTCTCTTCACCAACGTGTTACCGGAGGAAGGACCGACGGAGACCTATGAACGCCAAGCATGAGTCGACGGACCACGCCCTCGTCCGACGAGTTTGGGGACGATCTGAATTTCGACGTATTGACCTGGGAGAATGAACTGGCGCGAGAACAGGCGCGACAAGCGCGGAGACGCCAGGGAGGTCGGTAACGGGACTTATCGGAACGTCTGGAAGGGCACACCACGCCTTTGGCCGTGGGCGTCGGACGGTCCCCCCTCGTCACGCCGATGGGGGTACGGGATGCCTTGCAACGGGCCATGGACCTCTCGGGCATCCCCACGGCTCCGCCGGCCGGGGTAGGCGTCGCGCCCAATGTGACGTCGTCGAGTGCGGACATGCCCAGCGTGGCGGCCATCCGGACCGCGGCCCGGGACTTGCCGTCGCCCACGTTTAGTCCCAGACAAATCGGCGTCATGGAACGGATTCTTCGAAACGAGGTACCCGAAGACGAAATCGATGCCCTGTTGAACTCGGTGGGGCTCGAGTTTAACAGTTTGACTGATTACATCGCCGAACGCCCCCCGTCGCCCGCACGCCCCCCGCCGCCCGCGCTCACGGCCCAACAAATCGACGTCATGGAACGGATTGCCCGAGGGAATTTTCGACCCGGGCAGATCGAGGAGCTGTTGAGGTCCGCGGGTCTCACCAAGGACCAATTGCGCGACTATGTCATCAACCGTCCCGCGACCCCCCGGACCCCTTCACCACCCCGGGCGCCGCGAGGGCGCGGCCGAGGTCGAGGTCGAGGTCGAGGCCGAGGCCGGGGACGCGGCGGGGTGCCACCCGGAGGAGGTGGCGGGGGCGACGACGATGGAGGCCCCCCCTGGGGTGGTGGTGGCGGCGGCGGTGGAGGAGGGGGCCGTCGTGGCCGTGGCCGTGGGCGTGGCCGCGGCACCCCCCTCGACGACGAGCGCGCATGAATCAAGACGAATTGCGACGACAGATGGATCTGTTGGCCGAAGATGCCCGTCAACGGTCCGTGGGGCGCCGCATTGCCGGCATCACGCATACCAATACCGTCACCACAGTCTACAAGGATGGAGGAGAACCCGAAGTCTATCGCACGTCCTCGCGTTTGTCCACCCCCAACACGGTATAAAAAAAGCACGGAGACGTCCTGGGACGACCAAACGTCCAGATGCCACGACGGAAACGACGCGCCCGTCGTCGACGATCGCAACGAGGCGGCGTGTCGCCGGGACTCATCACGGGGATTTTCAAGACGGCCCATAAGACCACCAAAGCCATTGGGGAGCGTCAACAAAAAACGCCGAAAAGATCAGTCAAAAACGAAGAGCCGAGGTGGCGAGTGGCAAGCGCAAAAAGTACGCGGGGGAATCGTTCAACTGCCCCATCATGTGACGTTATAAGAAGACCAGGCGACGCTGGGGGCGCTATCACACGGCATCATGGTTCGACGCCGACGACGACGCATCAGTTACCGACGCCGCCGACGCCACTACCAACGAGGGGGGATTTTACCCTTTCTCATTCCTCTAGGCCTCTTAGCCGCCAAAGCCGCGGCGGCAGGCGCCATTAGTGGCGGCGTGGGGTATGGCGTGAAGAAAGCCCTTCCTTCCGAGGAAGACGATGAGAGAACCTATAAAAACACCATCGGGGTCGGGTCCCGTTCCATTGACGACATGGTCCGACGCGGTCGGAGACGACGACGACGACGACGACAACGAGGGGGCATTTTACCCTTTCTCATTCCTCTGCTTGTCGCCGGCGGCAAGGCCATTGCGGCTGGGGCGGTGAGTGGCGCCGCGGGGTACGGGGTCAAGAAAGGCTTGGAGGCCGCCACGCGCAAGAAACGCGTGGGGAAAATCTCTTGGAAGCAGGCGCAGGCCAACCAGTGCCTGGTTCGTAACATGCGCAACCGAATGTTAAAGATGGGTGGGTTCAAGTAACCCTATAAAGACCCCCTGGACCGTCGACCGTAGGAGGACACCATGGTGCGACGCTTACAACGACAACTGCCGTTTTTACGGAGCGTGTTGCGCGAAGCCGACCAGCAGGTGAGACGGGAACGATTGCAGCACGCCAATGCCGATCAAGTCAATGCCATCAGTGAGTTGGTGATGAACACCTTGAAAGGGAATGTGACCGTCCCGCCTCGACTCTTGGATCAGTTGCGTCCGCACAAGCAGGCCTTGCGCGACATGGCGCGTCGCAAACATTCCATAAAACGGCGACGGCAAGTCATGATGGCTCAAACCGGGGCGGGCATGTGGCACGCCTTGGATCGCGTGTGTCGTCATTGCCTGTCAGGATGAGTCACGGACCGTACCAGAAAAAGTACCTGGTGTCCCCGGCGGACATGGAGCGGTTGGTGGAACAATACAAAGGCACGTTGATGGTGAATTCGCGGTTGACGCATGCCGCGCGGTTGGCGGCCAAACAACACGTCTTACTGGCCTCCCCCGAGATCCCGCCGGCCACCAAAAAGATCCGCGTCAAGGCCCTGGGACCCGCGGTACGTCGAGCCACCAGACGCGTGCGGACCATGTCGTTGCCGGGGGCCGGAGGCGCGGTAGCGGGGGCCGACGACGACGACGAGTTTGCTCAAGGACCCATGGAGACCTTCTTGAAAACGCTTATAAAAAGCAGCACTCCCCAACCCAAGGCCACACCCAAAGGCAGGCCGAAACTCCCGCCCAAGCCGAAACTCCCGCCCAAGCCGAAACTCCCGCCCAAGCCGAAACTCCCGCCCAAGACACCCGTCTCGTTGCCGTTACCGGCCGACGATTGGGAAGAGGAATTGGCCGTGCCCATTCCCAGCACGTCCAAGAGCAAGACGACACCGACCTTGAGCAAAGGCAAGTCGCCTCAGGCAGGACCCTCCAAAGGGCAGACGCCGCTCACCACCAAGAGACCACGCTTTCGCTTTAGTCAGGCGGCCAAAGAGGGCAAGAAACTGGCCAAGGAAGTACTGAAGTTGAAACGACAACCCGGCTGGAGCGAGTGGGGAGAAAAGGTGCAGCGGAAACTCGATGGCAAGGACTACTAGACGCCGCCGCCGCACGTCGCGCCGTGGTCGCCGGCGTCGCATGGTCGGTCGGGGCTTGAACGTGCAAAAATGGTTGGCCAAGACCGGCATCGAATTTCATTGGCCCGGGTACCAATACATGGGGCCTGGCACCCATTTGGAGAAACGCCTGAAGCGCGGGGATCCCGGCATCAACCGGTTGGACCGCATTGCCAAACAACACGACATTGATTATTCTCGCGCGCGCTCGCATCAGGACAAGTGGAAAGCCGACGACAAGATGATTCGCGCCATTCAAGCCCTCCCGGGAAAAAAGACCTGGACCGAAGCCTTCGTTCAAAAAATCATGCAAGCCAAACGCAAATTGAAACTGTAACGTGTTTATTGAGGCAAAGACTTACATGGTGGTTTATGTAAAGTAGAGTTCTAGCGACCGAAATAAAGGTGTTTTTTTTGTCAGTGTACGGTTTACATCTCAGTATTTTTTTTGTGTTCATGGCGTCCTACTTGAATATCGTCCCACTTCGTCACACTTAATATCGTCACACTTGTCCCCGATTTTCCCGTCCTGGGCTCGTTCAGAGCAACCCTCGTCACACTCACTCCAATCGACAGGTTCGCACCACTCTGGTGGCATCATCACATACATGACCTCGGTGGGGCCCAAACCCACGTCCTTCTTGGTGGGGCATTCCCGCAACAGTTTTTGGCATTCGTCACATCGACCGTAGACTTTAAAGACGGGTCGTCATCGGGCACGATATCCGCTTCAGCTAATAAGATCTTCAAGAAATCGAAGGCAGGGTGGATCTTCACGGCTGTCGGTAAAGGCAGCATCTCCTTGGTGAGACCACAACAAATCATCGCCCGTAATTCGATCGGTTCGGGGGGTGGTAGGGTCTGGGTCTTGGGGTCCCATTTCGTGAGGTACGTGAAGATGCCCAACAGTCTCTTGCTCACTCGATCGGAATTGCCCGTGGTCATACATCGGAGATGCGCGGGGAGTTCCTTGCTCATCAGGGTAAAACACCAGGAAACAGGGGACGGCAAACAATGGTGGGAAAACATGCGATACATCCACTCGCATTGTTCCTGGGATTCGCTCTCGATGCGGACTCCGTCTGTAAAAACAAAAAAACACAGTTCAGTCCGAGTCGGGCGTCACGGTTCGACCCACCCCATAATAATGGCAATCGCAGACCCACCCTTCGTTCTGGTAACACTCGGCATGCATCATGATGGGGCGAGGTCCTCCACGTTCTCGCTTGGTCAAAAACGAATGCACGTTGGTCGGTTCCAAAGGCACGCCCACCATGACAAAGACCGAGACGATTAACCAAAGACAATGACAAGGGGCTCGCGGCCAGGTGTGCGCGTGGCGTGAAGGGTAAGGGTGAACAACTCGTTCCAACGTATCTCTGGCGATGTTGGCGCCTTGGTGCACAGAACAATAACATCTCGCCTCGTTGTTTTCGATTTTCAAGCACGACGCCATGAGAAAGTTAGCCGGTGTCAGAACAGGAACCAAACATGAACAACCAAGTGACCCAATGAGACAGTGAGCCTTGGCAGTGAAAATGCAGCGGGCTTTCCCCGGCTCTCTATATACCCTCCTCGTGTCTAGGTCCCGGGCTCTCTCGACCCACCCTCAACAGAGGGGGGATGGGGGGGTATCCCCCCCTCTTTGAGGGCTTGGTTAGAGGGGGGTCCCCATCAATGAGACCCCTCTTCCCATACCATAAAAGGGCCTCTGTCCTCCAGTCGACTCCAAACGCAATCTTCATGAGTTCTTACTTGATATGGTGTGGCCTTTTACTGTGGAGTACTGTCTTTTGTGTGCGAGGGAACTGGTCCGAGCCATCATCCGTACCCCCTGTTGCCGCGTGCTGGTCCATAAAGCCTGTTTGTACGCCGCCTTGGCCATCAGTCCGTCCCGTCCGACCCCCACGTGCCCTCACTGTCGACAAGAGTTGGGTCTGGCCCGTTTTCGACGCTTGTGTTGGCGTTTGTCGGGTAAGTGGAGTCCATGGTTTGAATGTCCCCTCGCCCCTGTGTCCCCTTCACGCTCATTCTTACCATGGGGTTTACTTACAGAGCATGGATCCACCGCCGCCGCCACCACCACCGTCTTCCTCTGGTCCTCCCGACGACCACGACGATCGGGTAAGTGGAACCCATCGGTTGAATTCTCCCGCGCCCCTTGCCACCCTAACCTCCCGCGTCCCTAGCACCCCTGGCTCATTCTTCCTTTGTTCGTTCCACTTAGGGGCCACCACGACCACCACGACCACCACCATCGTCACCACACCGCGACGCCAGGCCATTGCAGGTAACCATTTTTTCATGTTTCACCCACGGGGGGAATCGACTGGGCCGTGATGTGAAACTGAGCCCACCCCGGTTTGGTCGAAGACAAACCGGGACAAGTCAGTCCCTCTCCGTTCTTTCTCGACTCAACGGGATGTCTTGCGTGATGGAGACCTTGTGCTCCAAAGGATCCGACACCTCGTTTTTTCTCTCCGTCTCGCTTTGCTGAATTTGGGTCGTCTTCCAGTAGGGCTGTGATACCTGGCAGCAGGTGGAGTCCACGTTGCTCCCTCCCTGTCTCTGTTTTTTTGGTATTTTTCTATTCTGGCCGGTTTTTTCTCATAGGAGGAGCAGGTTTTCGCTGTTGGACTTTCTTGGCTGTCCTCATCCACTATTGTCTTCGTGCTGGACAATAACTCTCTCCCTTCCGTTTTGCGCCACTTGGGAAAGGGGTGGGTCTCCTTTCTTGATCGTCTCCTAGCTTGGTGATCTGGAGGTTATCCTTTTGGCTACTCTCCCCTGGTTGGGTCGCTTGCCTTTGTCTTTGCTTTTTGTGTCGTTCTGCAGGTCTTCCCCACCGTATCCCGGAACTCTCTGGACGTGGCCCTCTGTGAAAATGAAGGTCCAACAGCTCGGACTCTGGCCTTTCTCGAAGTAGGGTGCATTCCTTGCCCAAAATCCAGTGACAGCAAGACCATCGGGACAGACCTGCTTTAGCCGACCTTGGACAAAGACGCAGCCTGTTGGTTCACGTGCTCCCTTGGTTGCCGAGGGGTGCATTTCCTGAGGCCGGGGAAGAACGAGTGTTGACAGACCCACCAGATCAAGCAGTGCTGACGCTGGGAAAAAGCCACCTGACAAGCATGGTTACTCCAGACATCCACGGGTGTGTCCGCTTGGATCTGGTAACAGGGCCACCTGAAAAGAAATACCATCCCTTGGGATCTGGTTCGAGTTGCTGTTGGATAGCTTGGAGTCATCCCTTGGGATCATTTTAACGATGCTGTTGGAGCGTAGTCAAATCCTTGCAGTTCTCCCTGTTGGACCACACACCCTGGTTATGTCCCCTTGTTGTATGCAGTTATTTTCGCCGAGCAGAAGTCGTCAAGCTGCGAGGCCTTGAAGGGCTGGAGTTGGCTTCCTTTCCATCCCTGTACCCATTGTGCCTAGAGAAGTGGTTTCGTCTGACAGACCTCGCGGATGGATCACCACCACGGACCCTCTCTGTCGTCGGCGATGACAACACAAGGGAACGCGTGTGTGAAACAAGTGGGAGTGGTATTGCAAAACAGTGACAGGTCCCCAACTCTACCTCACAGCCTGGCCAAGTGGACTGGACATTAACAGCCTTTCTCGGGTGTCGTTTGAAACCCCATCGCGGACTACCTTGGACTCTGTGATGCTGATGTCTGACTGTGTGGCTTCGTCGGTGCTTTCCTCACCAAGACACATCCTGTTGATTGGCTTCTTTGGTGACTTTTTTTGGGGGAGAAACCCAATTCTTCTAGGCCGTCTGTATCCATCCGTTTGAGATGTCCTCGAGCACGTGACGAAAGTTGCGCGAAACATCGGCTTCTTGTGGAGTACTTCTTGGATGGTTGCCTGGGCAAGTCGTCTGTTTGTGCGCTCTCGCAGATTTTTCATTGGCTTGTCCTTGCATTCCCTTGGAAGAAATGGAAGTGGAGGGTCACACCCACACAGAGACCACCTGACGAGTCGAACGCGTTGTGTTTGGGGGAACACTGTGGTCCCAGAACTCCCTTCTCCTCCACAACGAGCAAGACCTTTCCATAGCCATTCCATACAGACCCAAGCAAGTCCATTCCACCTTTCGAGGGGCGTCATCCGTTCCATCACCTTGGTTTTTTGGGTGGGACATCTGTTCAAGCCTTTCTTCATTATCGTTTGGATGTGTTGACTGCTTGTTCTGCCGACTCCCTGGTCCCAACCAGTCTTTCAGTCACTGACACAGGAGGCACCTGACGACGTTGTTTCACTGCCACAGGGTTCCTGATGCATTCCAATCGGTGTTGGATTCGTGGAAGTTCGAGGTCCATTGGACTGTCAGAGCTCCATTGGTATTTGTTCGATATCGGGCGTGTTTTCTTCTGGAAGGAGAGAGGTATTGGGAGATTTTCCTGGGCTTTGCAAGATCCTGCACGAAACCACCCCCCTTGTAGTGGTATGGAACCACATGGGAGGCCCGTCGTGCATACCGGTCTTTTCTTTTATGAAGGGTCCTGTATTGCATGTGGATGATGGAAGCTATTGGTCGACGATGGTATGTGATTCTTTCAATGTTGGTCTGCCGGGACCAGCTGCTGCGCCCCGAGGTTCAGGTCGTGGGTTGCTGTCAAGACCTCTGGTGAGCCCTCTCTGAGATGGACGATCTCCATTTTCTATCATCAGCAGCATTCTCTTTTTTGGCTTGGAGTTCACAAGTTGGAGTGCATGGATGAGTGGTTTGGACTTCCCCGTTCGCGGCATCTCTGTCTCTGAGACGCTCTGGCCATGACGCTGGTTTCGTCTGTGATCGATGGGGAACCCTCTGCTTCTTTGGCATCGTATGTGGACACTTTTTCTGTTGGGCTGCATGTCTCGGTCCACTCTTTGGCGGTGATATCAGGTTAGGTTCACTGGGACTTGGTCCCGAGCAAACTTGAGAGGCTGGAGAGCTTAACTCAGATCGGCTTGACGAGGTTTATCTAGCGCCTCGGCTGACACTCGTGTTCAAGGTGGGTTTCTCCTACTTTCAAGGTAGGTTTCTCCTAACTGACTTTTATCCCTGGGAATTGACTGGCATGAGCATCGGTGTGTATGCTGCTGCTGGGGTAGGTATGCTGCTGCTGGGTTTGGACAAAGTGGGTGTGTATTGTAGCTGGGAAATGATGGGTCCACCATCCCCTGCACTAGGACGTTCCTGGGGAAAGGTCCTTCTCTGCCACAAGGGTCTTGGTGGTGTGTTCTGCGTGTCAGGTCCTGGTGTTTGTCAACCGAAGGCTCTGGGCCGATCTACCAGCTGGAGTACCTTCTTTTGGCGCAATTGGCCTTCTCTCAGTCATTCCTGGTTGGACTCCCCAGTTGTATTGTTGTGCCAAGTCACTCTTCAGCCCTCCTTTCTTGTATTCTCTTCCCCCTCTTTTCCACGAGTGGTGCCCCACCTAGTCTGCGTCCTGTTTCCCCACCCCCATTCACCTTCCTCCATCTTGCTCCCCTCTCTCCCCCTTTTCGTTTTTTGTCCCTCACACCAGTGACTCTCCCTTCACTGTTTTTGTCCCTTCACCCCTTTTAGGCTTTCCTCTTAGGGTTACTTCCCACTTTTCTCCATCTGTCGTTCCATCCACTGATGCATTGTCTTTTTCTCGGGGGACTAACTTGTCTCGGTTTGTTTTTTCTCAAACCTTTCAGGGCACCTCCAGCGAGTCGACCCCGGACAGCGACGAATACAACAGTCGACGCCAATTGCAGTGCGACGAACGTCTACCGACCACCAGCAACAGCAGCGACGACGAAGCGTGTCTGCAAGCATTGCAAGCCGCCGAAGGACAATCCGGTGGCGGGCTCCGGTTCCAGCTCACCCCCCACACCGTCCGTCACCGCCCCTCGTTCGGCGTCACGTGGCAAACGTTCCGGGGACGCCTGCAAGGCCAACCGAGCTCGGGCGACGCCTCGGAGGAAGTGATTCGCGCCCTGGGCCAAGCCATCCGAGACCAATCGCGGCCATGGCACGACGACGATTATTTGCAGATCTACCTGGGATCCAACCGCTTGGCCAATAATTTTACCAGTGCCCGCATCCGGGTGAGAGATTGGCGCCACACGCAAGGGCCCGCGCGGCATCTGCTCGAACAGATGACGGCCCTCTTGAACTCCAACGAGGACTTTGCCGTGGACGATACCTTTGTGGTGAACTTGACCTATGTGCGCCCACCGCGCGGCACGGGCCGTCGTAAACTCGGGTCCGACGCCTTTGTCAATATGGTCAAGAGCAAAAACAGTTGTATCGAGATCACCAACAAGGACGATCTCTGCTGCGCCCGAGCCCTAGTGACGGCACGAGCTTACCGACACAAAGATGAAAGTAATCTTCACCTGAGCGAATACAATGTCATCCGGCAAGGGCGCGATGTCCAAAAGACCAAAGCCCGCGAATTTCATCGATTGGCCAAAGTACCCGAAGGGGCTTGCGGGTTGCCCGAAATACGCGAGTTCGAAAAAGTGTTGCACGAGTACCAAATCATCGTGGTCTCGGCCGATCACGGGAATGCCATCGTGCATTGTGGCCCGACCGCCCTGCACCAATTGATTCTCTTAGCCCACCAGGGCCATTACGACGTCATCACCAAATTGAACGCCTACTTTGGCGTGAACTATTTTTGCTTACGGTGCCGCAAAGGGTACAAGACCAAGGACTTTCGTCATCATCGGTGTCCCGGTTTCAAGTGTTATTGTTGCCAACAAACGGACTGCTCGGACTTTGCCACCCACCCTGCCCGAGACGCCGCCACCGAACTGTGCCCCCATTGCCATCGCCGTTTCTTTGGCCCTCGGTGCCTTGAACTGCACACCATCCGTTCTCCCAGCGGCGCGAGGGTTCACCCCCTGACCTTCGACAACGTGTGTGCCCAACTACGGTGTTGCGGGCACTGCGGACGCACCTTCCAGAGCTACCAGGCCTTTCTCAGCCACCTCTGCGGCTATCAACCGTGCTACAGTTGCGGGCTCACGGTGGACGTGTGAGACCACAAATGTTTCATCCAGGCCATCCCCTTACGTCGAGGCCCCAAACGCAAACACGCCACCACCAGTTCCGGCCAACCGGGACCCGTGCCCGAGGAACAGGCCGTCGTCAAAATCTTTTTCGATTGCGAGTGCATGCAGGAAGGCGGGGAGGCACATCGCGTGAACCTGGTGTGCGCCGAGACCAGTCTGGATGATCAACGCTACCAGTTTCCGTCCATGCAAGAGTTCATGGCCTGGGTGTGGAACCTGAGAGTGACGGACCCCTCGCGCCGCCCGTTCGTGGTGATCGCCCATAATTTCCAAGGGTACGACGGCTACCTGTTGCTCGAGGAACTGTATCGACAAGCGGTGGTGCCTTCGCAGATCGTCAACGGGGCCAAACTCCTGAGCGTCGCCATTCCCGGGGGCATCAAATTCATCGACAGTCTGAACTTTTTTCCCATGGCCCTAGCCTCGTTTTCCCAGACCTTCGGCTTGCGGGAAGAAGCCAAGGGGTTCTTTCCCCACTTCTTTAACATCCCCACCTTGCAGCAATACGTGGGGGCCATGCCGGCCCGACAGTATTACGATCCCGACGGCATGAAACCGGCCCGTCGCGCTGAGTTCGAACGATGGTACGCGGAGCAAGTGGCGTCCCATCGCGTGTTCAACCTGCAAGCCGAACTGTTGAAATACTGCCAGTCCGACGTCCGGATCCTGAAACAGGCGTGTACCCTCTTCGAGCGCGAATTCAGGGGTATTTGCGGGTTCGACCCCTTCGAACAATGCATCACCATCGCCTCGGCGTGCAACGTGGCCTACCGTCGGCATTGGATGCGGCCCCGAACCCTGGCCGTCGAACCCCTGCACGGCTGGCATCCGCAGATCCGTCAATCGAGAGCCGCCTTGGAATGGTTGTACCACCTAGAACGCATCCTGCCCCCACCCACGGACGGGGAACCGCGCCTACGCCACAGTCGTAACGGAGGCGAAGTGCTGTTCCGGATCGGCGAGCATCGCTACCACGCGGACGGCTACGACCCGCGCACCGGGTTCGTGTACGAATTCTACGGCTGTTTCTACCACGGGTGCCCCGAATGTTTTCCCCAGCGACACCAGCGGCACGCCAAACTCGACGGGGCCACGCCCCACGAACTGTACGCGCGCACGGTCCAACGGGCCGAACGCATTCGTCAAGGCGGTCACGTGATGGTCGAAAAGTGGGAGTGCGAGTGGGACGCCCAAAAGAGGGAGGATCCCGAGTTGCGCCTATGGGCCGAGACCCTGGATCTGGTGACGCCCCTGGATCCCTGCGACGCTCTTTTCGGTGGACGGACCGAAGCCGTGCGAGCCCACTGTCAGGCCCAGCCGGACCAACACATCTTCTACGACGATTTCACGTCGCTGTACCCGTGGGTCAATAAGAATTGCAAGTACCCCGTGGGGCATCCCGTCATTCACACGCAGTTCACCTGCCAGACCCCCGAAGACTGGGACCGACTGGTACGCCATCAATCGTACGGGTTGGTCCAATGCCGCGTCCTGCCGCCTCACTACCTGTTTCATCCCGTGCTGCCCGTCCGCGTGGCCGGCAAGTTGTTGTTTCCATTATGCGTCCGATGCGCCCGAGACCAAGTGCCTCTGCCCTGGACGGAACGCACCCACATCTGCGACCACACCCCTCGAGAACGAGCCTTCGTGGGGACGTGGTGCACGCCCGAATTGGTGCTGGCCCTGGACCAAGGGTACGTGATCCTGCACATCTACGAACTGTGGAACTTTCGTACGACCTCCACCACCCTGTTCAGGGATTACATCAATACCTGGATCAAGGTGAAACAGGAAGCCGACGGCTGGCCCTCGCCCGAGGTGGCCAAAGATCCCGCCTTGCAGATCGAGTACCTGGAAGAGTTTCGGCGCGTGGAAGGGGTGATCCTCGACCCGGCCAAGATCGAACGCAACGAGGGTCGACGCACTTTGGGCAAATTGATGGCCAACAGTTTCTGGGGTAAATTCGGTCAACGCACCAACAAGACCCAGGTGACCACCTGCAAGGACCCCGAGACCTTCTTCGATCTCTTTCTCGACGGCGAACGCGACATCCATCGCATCCTGCCGGCCGGCGAACAGATGATCGACGTGTACCACTCGTTCAAAGAAGACGTGGGCGAACTGGGTACCAACACCAACATCTTCGTGGCCGCCTTCACCACGGCCCACGCGCGCGTCAAATTGTATCACGACGGACTGCTCCCCCTGCACACCCGCGTGCTGTACATGGACACGGATTCCGTGGTGTACCTGGCCACCCAAGGCGAGACCCACCTGCCGCGAGGACGTTTCCTGGGGCAATTCAAGGACGAACTGAAAGGCGACGTCATCGACGAATTCGTGGCCGGCGGACCCAAAAATTACGCCTACCGCACCCGTTCGGGACAAGAATGTTGCAAGGTGCGCGGCTTCACCCTGGACGCCCGGGGACAAGCCGTCCTGAACTTCGAGAGCGTCCGAAACCTGGTGCAGAAAGACATCGACGAGCCTCTCGATCGTCCCAGAATGCTGTCCGTCGACAACCCCCATCACATCGTACGGAACGTCACCGACAAGACGCTCCATTCCGTGCGGCAACTCAAGACCTACTGCATGGTCCAAGACAAACGGGTGTTGGATGCCACGACCGGCATGACGTACCCCTACGGTTATCGGCCCAGTCAGGACATCGTGGACGACATGGTGTTGTCGGTGCTGTTCTCGGACATAGACTCTCCCTTAGAAGACTATGAGGAGGACTTGCCTTTTGTTCCAGAAACGTACCAATGTTGAAAACAAATGATAGGGACGCCCCACACCACTAAGGTCGGGCACACGTTCCCGCTTGTAACACGTTAGGGTTCAAGTGTAATAAACCCGAGTTTGAAACCTGTGCAAAAAAAATGTGTTTATTTTTTTTTCCTTTTTTGAATTCCCTAGGGAATACCCACGTGACCACCGGGGAGAGAAGACTGTCCGGGGGGACCTCGACCTTGCCCCAGCCTAGGGTTAGGGTCAGGGCCCAGGGAAAGCGCCGTTTACCCCCCCAAAAACCCAAGTTTACCTACTGCGCATGCACCCTCGCGAATTGAAGTGTTCCCACATGGACGAGAATTCAAGTTCGTCTACCAATATAAGAGCCCCTTAGGGTTAGAGTTAGGGTAACAGGGGCTCTAGGGTTAGGGTTACAGGGGCCACACAATAACGTGACACACTTTTACAACACGTCATCACCCCTATGACGTCATGACCACACCCCTATGATGTCATGACCCCTGTGACGTCATCACCCCTATGACGTCATTTCATGAAAATTTGATTGACAGGTCACATGACCTTCTGCTGCACGCTGATTGGTCCATTTGCACCACGTGACCTATATCCGGCTTTCTGATTGGTCTGTACCAGGGTGGCCCCCATTACTACTTACTTGTGAATGACAACACAGCCTGATAGGCGTATCAAACAAATGTGTCTCCCAGCATATATCAAACATTACGGACAAACAAAACGAACTTTGAAAAACTGTTAGGCTAACAATTTATAACCAGACAATTGCAATCCGTTTCAATCTTCTTCAAGTTTGTCGATCCATGCCTCCTAAAGCATTTGCTGTGATATTTTATACCTTCTTTAATATTTAACGGTTAGGGACCGGTCATTTATTAGAGGAGGGGGGGGGGGGGGTTAACCTGGTGCATTTTTAATTTTCAATATACATAATTTACATAAGATGACCCTCAACCACAGAAACAGTTTTAATCAACTTAAATAAAACTCACCGAACTATTTAACGCAAATAGCTAGTAGCTCTCCTCCCAGATCTGGTGGTTGTCACTGTGATCTGAATATCATCCCCTTCCTCATCATCATTCTCTGAACTCGAGCCAATCTCGTCAAGGACATAGTCTGTTTGAATGCTTTCATCATCATCAGATAAGTATTCCTCTTCATTTTCACTACTGCAGAGTGGACTTCCCTCTTCTTGTGTAAAACCCTGTATCTGTTGTTGAGTAATGCGCCTTTGCACCTCCATTAGCTTTGCAGTGCTTGTTTGATGCAGTGTGAGTCCCGTGATGCTTCAAGTATTTATCGATAACTGCTATTGTCTGCTTACTAAGGGAGCCATCTTTAAACATGGCATTCCACTGGTATGTCTTGCTTGCCTCAGCTGACTTTTTAGTGAAAGTACAAGAGAAAGTTGAGAAGGAAGAGCAAGATATCAAAGATCACCTGAACAGCCTCTATTCTAAGTATGGCAAACTTAAAGATATGGGAAGGGGAGCCAAAGAGATTTTGACGAGGAAAAGATCACAGTGCTAACAATGCTCAGGAAAAAAACCATCCAAAACATTCAACATCTACATGATGCAGAGAACAAATGTAAGGATATGTTTCGTGGACACATTCTGAAGTTTAAATCAAAAAAGCGTTAAAAAAAAGAAAATAAGAGAAAGGCACAGAAGAGAAAAGCTAGACGAGAAGAAGAGAATTTTGGTTTAATCTCCAAACTACTGTCTGATGGTGAGATTCCATTTAAGGAAGTCAATGTGGCTGCTCTGATATCCTTAAAAGGGACACAAGTTTACTGGCTAAAGCAGATGATGGAAAGAGGGCTTATAAGTGAGTAAGCTTGTACACTAGTTAAAAAGTACTTGCCATCTATCAGCTCTTCAAACAGTGAATCAGAGGACAGTGATATTGAGTAATACTGAGTAATACATGAAGTTTGTTTTTCCAAAGTGAAAGGACTTCTATACACCATGTTATGTTGGTTTGTCATGCCATCATTTCGATAATAAATAATATTTGACTTGTTCTTGATTCCTTCAGTGTTGTTTCTTTTTTGTGGAACGGAGATTGGAATGCACAAAAATACATGGCCCCTCAGAAATGGTTGCACAATTTTATGCAGCCCCCCATTTCAGGTACACAAAGAGGTATGACCCCCACCCCAATTGCACCAGCCCACCCCCCCTCTAATAAATGACCGGTCCCTTATGTTTGTTTCATTCAATTTGGTGTATTTTTTACTGTTACCTGGACACAGCTATTTTTTTAAGAAAAAAGTATTTTGCAATTAACTCCTGGTTAAACCTTTCTTGAGTCAAAATTAAACCTCCTGCTTTTTGGGAAGATTAATGGAGCCTAGCAACACTGTCCCTAGCACTGAATTAACACTAAACCTAACAAACAAGTAAAAACAACAGCTAATTGACAAAGGACGATGACAGACTCCATTTGAAGTCTGCAGGAAATTATAATATATGATGCTATAGCAGAGAAAACGTTTTTGACTGTTCTGTCGGAGCAATTGAACTCACTGAAACTGAGTGAAGTCAATTAACCTTCACCTTACAGACATCTCGTCCGACAAACAATATTATAAAATAGAAGTTTGAGCGAAATCCAGGGCTGATGACTTTCAGAAAGCGCATACCCATCTCCCCCCTCCCCGAAAAACCTCATAAACAAGTTTGGACGCATGTATCCAGAATTTTTTCCCGAGTTTCAACATTGTATAGGTGAGGGGAGGGGACGGGAGTACTGAGAAGGTTACATTATTTTTTAAGAGCACGAATATTGTATCACTGTCCCACTGACTTTTCTCCAGGATTATGCAGTCCAACCTCTCGTTAGCGACAACCCAAAATGCGAAGACTAAGGGGTTGCTCGGGAGGTGGTCGCTTGCAAGAATAGAACCACAGGCCGGGCATCTTGCAAGAAGATAATCAAGAGGTCCCGAGGGGCACATCTACTTTATGGACGATAATTCACAGTCGCATACAATTTCTGAGCTTTGCCATTTGTAGGTCCATGTTGTTACTAAAAGTGGTTCTTCGTATATTCTTGGTAGCACAATGCACACAGCGAACATATATAGAGATCAGAGAATGCGTCAGGCCGTCCCTTATAAGAGGTTAAAAACAATGAAACCTCATTGAACTTTCAGGTCCAAAAAGTGGTCACGGTCGCTTACAAGAGGTGATCGTTTATTACAGGTTGCAGTTGTAAGGCTTTGAATGGGAAAGTTTTGGTGTTTTGGAAAATTGGTCGCTTATGGAAGGTGGTGGCTTACGATAGGTGGTCGCGCATAGAGATTCGACTGTAGAAGCGCACACATGTTTTGGGTCCTGAAAGGTATCACATCATCACTCAATTAACAGCCACTGTTTTCATTGTGCTTAACATGTCTCAACTATTTTCAGTTTCAGCACTGGTCATCTGGAACTCGCTTTCTCTGGTACGTACTCATGGTTGCCCTTGATGACGCAGAAGAAACGTTACGATCAACGAGGACAAAGGCCAATTCTCAGCGTTTAACACGGCTTCTGATGAGCGGCGGTGCAGTGCTTTTAAGAGAGATATTCGACTCTTATCACAGTCCTGCCAGCCTTCCCACAATTCTCAGTAAGCCTTCAGTAGAAAGGCAGCTCAAAACAGCAAGGCTTACCGGTCCCGACTGGAAATGTTTGTGTCCTTCCCCAGGGGTATACGGAAAGTCGAGTGATTTTGACATTAGTTTAACCTTCAGATTGTTACGAACAATATGCCCACTTACTCCTCCCCTCACAGGATGGGACAGCCTGCCAAACGACTAAGACCACAGTCTTGAAGCAGACCTGGCACGAATAAAATTTTATCGCAATGAAGTTTATGGTCACGCCAAAATTTGGAAATTCCTGATGATCACTTTGATGACCTATGGAGGCAAATCAGTGAATCGCTGTTGAGGATTGCAGCAAACCTTAGCCCTCAAAAACAAAGCAACTGGAAAGATGCTATTGACAAATTTCTCCTTGAGCCCTTAACGCCAGAGGAAAAGAGATACGCCAAAGAGTTAGAGTTATGGTACGAAAAAGACTTGGACTTGAAGAAAGCGCTAAAAGACCTAAAAGAACTTATCCTCGAGGAATTCAGAGAAATGAAAGAAAAAGAAGCCTTAAGGGGTCAGCCAGTAGGTCAGTATTACCGGCTGCTTGTGGGTAGGTTATACGTTAAGTATTAAATGATAATTTCTATTAATTTTTACCATTCAGTCCTAACTCCTAAAACTAGCGAAATAGCATTTCACAAGATAAGAAGGGTTTTCTTGCGCAGCTGAAAGAGCTTATAGAATAGAACTTTAATAGAATCATCCTCAAAAGGCTTTTCAGACACTATTTACAATGACATGAATAAATTAAATACTAAACCACTTACGGTATAAATAATAAATATAAGAAAATAAGAATTCGTAAAAACAAAACACCTATGAAAAGACTTGCTCTAAAAGTTGCCCTGTTATAGCTTGCTTGAAAGACTGGAAGGAAACGCATTGCTATATGTTGTTATCTAAATTGTTCCAAATACAACTTCCTCTATATGCGAATGTGCGTTGGACAGAAGCAGTTCTATACAATGGTATATGTAATAAATCATGCTTGCGGGTGTGGAGAGCATGGATGCTGGAGCTTTTAGTAAATTTATCTACCAGATGTTTAGGTGCGAGGCCCTTTAAATATTTGTAAGTTAACACAGAGTCCCTATAGTACAATAATTGTTTGACAGGGAGCCAGTTAAGTTGGCGGAGTAAATGGGTCACGTGGTCAAATTTTCTAGAATTCGTTACAATTTTGCTTGCAAAGTTCTGGAATTGACCGTAATTTGTTTATGTTCTGAGTTGAATTATTGCACCAGACGGTTGAACAATAAAGCATTTTGCTAAAAACTAATGATGTAATTAACAACTTAAGAGTCTCTTTGTTAAAGCTTTCTTTAACTCTATTTATTTGATATAGCTTACAAAAACAGGAAGAGACTGTTTTTGAAATATGATGGTCGCTTGCGTATAGACAGTCTTGTCGGAGGGCGGCGAAGATTATCTCGGCAGGGTGGGTTATAAACATATATTTAAGCGTTTAGCTCGTCCCGGTCTCGGTGATTGCTGACACAAAATGCCTTCAGTTACTGATATGCAGAGAAGGCGCGCCTGCGTAACGAAACATTCTAAAGATGAACTGGTATCATTTCAATATTTAAAGTTTTTCCCAGATGTGCAAGTATCGAATTTTCCTTATTGAATAATGATCAACTGTTGTATTTTTCCAACAGCAACACTACGGCTTATGAACAATATCGCTCAGTTTGGATTTGTGGTCACGCCCGGTGAAATGGAAGAAAACCAGCGCGAAATTCATGCAGAGCTAGACATGTGGAACGTTATCATGGCTTTCAAAGACTCTTTCAGATTACTTTTTCGATATTTAAAAAATAGTCTGAATGCCCTTGTTGAAGACATCGAACTGGGAAGTCTATTGTTAACTGTTAAATGTAGTTCCCTGCAGATCCTTGAAGGATTGTGGAAAGTTTACAAAAGCGGTTACCTTAATCAAGTGGTTCCAACCTCGTTCATGAGAGACCCTGGGAACGAGGTTGGACGGGAAGATGAGAGACCCTGGAAACGAGGTTGAAGTGGTTCAAGAAACTCTGGTGACACATGAGGTCTCAGAAATCCTTGGTATTGATGAAGTAAAACTGATCGTGTCTATTTCTGAGCAGGAATATGAGAGGGGAAAACAAATTTTTGCGGATAATTCAGGTGAGCGTGCTGCTCTTCTGTATCTCCTTTGATTACTGGGCTTTGCAACAGTTGCAAATCAGCGATCGAGATATTGCGCAAAAGTTGGCACGAGAGCACTCGTCCCCAGACCCTGAGATAAGGGGGATACCCGGTCTCAAAAAATTTTTTTTTTCGGCCATCGGGCTTCAGTTTGGTTTAAAAATAAGGGGGGGGGGGTGGTGGCCGTTCCCTGGCCCCTCCGCTAGATCTGCCTCTGTGTTTTTCGTTGAAAATCGATTTTCATTTTTTCTGGTCCTGTTCAGGTCAGTTCCGGTCGGTTCCTGAAATACTATTCTTCGTTTTCACGGTTTACTGATTTAAATCCTTCGGAGAGTAGGAAAAATTCTTCCTCGTTAATTGGGTTATTCTCAACGCTAAAAGAAGCAACTATCGTATTTCTTTAAGCGAAGCCATTCAGTGCAGTCCACCTACTTCGGCGAGGAGCCGAGACGGGAGCTTGCTTAAAGGTGGACGACGTTCTCGACCCAGACCTCATTCGTCTTCTCTCATCGTCGTCCTCAAATTCGTCCTGGCTGCTTAAGGTCCCTAATAATAACGAGAAACAACTAACCTGTTGATCTGTTATAGATCGTTTTCACGTCACGCAACAAAAAAAATAAAATGGAAACCGTCCAGTAGAAGAAACCAAGAAAATGAAATGTCTCAGGTCTTTGTGGCCCATAGTTTCTGAGTTATTTGCCGAAACGTTTCACGCACCTTTGTAGAGCTTTGTATGGAGACGTCATATTGGTGTACTGTTTTGGTCCACCAATATGGCCCTTGAAAATCAACAAAAACATCTGGAGTGCACTTTTTCTATAAAAGCTCTTTCTTTTCACTCGAGAACTAGCGTACGTGCGTATAAACATATCTTCTAATACTTGAAATGGTTATACTGCTGAAAATCAAGAGGAGAGACTTTTTCAACGAGACAGCATTCCTATTTTTGTGTCACGCACGGTGAAAACTCGGAAGTTCAGATTGCTGTATTTTCAAAATGAAACATGCTACGGGACTGGGAACTTGTACAAAAATTTATTTTTTGTTTATCTTCAGTCTAGTGTAAATAAGAATTCGTAAGACCTCGCTATTTTGACATTACAATTTGTTGACGTCACTGTGAAAACCATCTATAGCTTGTATGTGTCACAAGGGTTTGATAGTGGATCTTTTGTAATTTCCCTGCTAGTTGGTGAAACAGCAGCTGGTGATGAGAAACTATTGAAAGATTTGCCCTCTGAAGGTTACCAGAAACTAGTAGAACTCTTACAACCATTATCAGCCACTGGAAGAGACTACAGGTCATTAGCAGACAGAATGGGATACTCAAATCAGTACATTCAGTGGCTTGGAAGTACAGATAATCCTGTTATGAACTTATTAAGAAAATTCCGGGAAAATGACAGGAAAATTTCAGAGCTGACATCTTTGCTAAAAGAGATAGAACGGTTTGATGTACTAGAGGAACTTCAGCCATATATAGGTCAGTGAAATGCAGCCTAAAAACTTGGGCTTATTGTTTGTTTAACTTGAGGTCTCCCGGTTAATACGGACACCAAGAGGTCATGCCATAGTGTCCGTATTCCGATCAGTAGCTGCCTGTATTGTTAGATAGTAGGCTATTTCTGAATTACTTTCAGTCTCTTTTGCTTATACTTTCATACGTTCATTCATGAACAAATTTACCTCATTTTCATAGGAATGGGCGTGCACAAGGTAGCGTTTCCATGGGAATGACCGGGCTTAAAAATGGGCTTCGTTTTTATGTTCTGGCACAAATTTCTCTCTCGCGCATACAGTGCACCAGATGTCCGAAGGTAAGGCAAAGAAAAGTGAATCTATAGTACGACGATCGACTTAACTGTGCGCAGCGTTTCCCGTTTTTATTAATGTACAACAATATATCCAATTTCGCACAAAAAGATAAAAGGCAAAATTTAGGATTAAAACATATGATTGTTGATACGGGTACACTGAAGCGTTCAAAATAGCTCATGCACGTTAAACGTGCCTATGTTGGCTGTCGATCGTCGGTGCTTTAAGGGGGAGGATTGTCACAAGTTTCCCGAGCCATGTCGCCTTACAATTCCACCTCTTGGAAGCCCTCATGATCATTATAATCTGATTGCTTTATTTTACTTTTTTAAATTTGTTGTTCCGTTAGATGCAACTTGTACTCAGGCCCACACAGGGCAAAACAAAGATTGTTTTATTTATTTAGCACTTAACATGAACCTTTCCCTTATTTGCTATTGATTATTTTGTCATTTTTGAAAGTACCCCGGATGCCAAAGGTTTTTCTCTAAAACATGTGAATTAAGCAATAGAAAACGTTTTTTTTTTTATTTTCCGTGTTTTGGATAACCTTATACAAACACTCGAGGGGTTGAGAGAATTCGAGACAGTTATGCAAACCCCAGAGGAAGGAATAATACAATTAAGGTACCCTATCTAAGGACCACACCAGGGACACAGAAACAAAAGGGTCAAAAAAGATACCCTATTTAAGGACCGAGAACCTCAAAAACTATACCCTATTCCGCGGCACGTACCTATATAGCCCATATATGGGAGTACGTCCCCCCCCTCCCCCCAGGCGTCGATGACTCGAACCATGTTATAAGCTTGTGACAAGTCAGGATAAAAAACCCCGTGTACTGAAGTCCGAGACATTGAAACAACCGTGTCAATTCTTTTTCTTTACTTTTTTGTCTCTTCAGTTCAAATTCAGGATCCATTCCCGTATACTTTGTAGCTTAATGCTATTCCCTCCCCATCCATTTGCTTATTTCCTTGTTTCCGGTTATTTGCTACGAACTACCAATAACTCGAACTCCCGCTAACTCGAACTTTTTTCGATTTCCCCAGAAGGTTCGAGTTATCGGGTGTCGGCTGTATCTTGACATCACAACCATGTTTACTTACAGACTTGTTTTTTACCTTTCTTTTTTAGAAAAGAGGGAGGATATAACAACCAGTAAGTGTTCGTTATAAGTCAAATAAGTTGTGTTAGTTTTAGTTCATTTACATACAATTTTACTATACTTCTTCAATATTTTCTAAAGTACATGATTGTCTGGAAAATCGACTTGATCATGATATAAGGGTCCAATCAGGGTTGACAGTGCCTATTTTGAAAATTGTAGATTCTTGCATATAATGCAGGTTTTGTAATCAAACAGGTAAACCCTGGTTAGTTATCCCTGTTCTGGTCTCCCAACGGTCTCAACAAATGCGTTTCAAATGTTCCCGGTCAAGCTGGTTGGCAAATCGACAATGGCTATATTTACAGGCCAACCATGGCACGTTCTCAAATCACAGTACACAGGTGAAGGCCCAGAACAAGGATTTGGCACTTTTTCCCAGATAGACTTAACCGGACTTCTAGTTCCTTTTGTGGAGCAAACTGGTTAAAATACACATTATTCCAAAATAGCAGCAATGCCAGTTTTATTTATATGTCAATTAGCTAGCTAGGCCTCTTTGCCTTGGGAGCCAATTATCACAACAATAGCAAAAGATTCAAAACAACTTCTCGCCTTTTTGCAGTTATGTGTATATGTTTTGGTTCAATTTTATCTTTGGTTTAAATTTTATATTATTTTGTTCCAAATTCATTCTGTTATCATATATTAACTTTGCCCAAAAACAATTAAGAAAACAAAATCTAAACTGAGGATAAATGAAATTGAACCACAACATATACATGTAGATATCTTTGAGAGCATTTTAACCGAAAATATGAGAAAAATGTTTCATCTGAAAAGAGGTAGAAAGCAACTAAAATTTGATTAACTGTTGACTAGACCTTCGGTCCATACTTGATCAGCGTCATAGTCACATTTTACCTATTACGCGAATATTTTCAATCATGGAACAAATTATACGATGGTTATCACACTGTTTTCCCGGGAGGTATTTTCTGGCTAAACTTAGTGATATTGTGTATATTTTCTTGCTTTACTTGGCACATTGTACATATAATCTGTTTTTATGTGTTTTATATTGCAGTTCACGATTGGTATCATGCATTTGTGTTTCATGCCAAGAAGGACCGTGCTTTTGTTGAAAAACTTGTCAAAAAAATGGAGAACTCACCTTATAAATTAAGGCTTTGTTTTAGTGAGCGTGACTTCCTTGGTGGTGGTTATCACCTTGAAACTACTGCAGTAGCCATCGAGAAACGATGCAAAAAGTTTATAGCTGTGCTGTCAAGCAATTTTGATGACAGTGAAGGAGGAACGTTTGAATCCCACATTGCTATGAGCCTGTCTGCAAGTTAATAACACTTTTTTTGTTGTTTTTATCTTAAAGCAACTCTCCTGACATTAACCCTTCAAGCCCCAATATCAGGCCACACATACAAATTCCTCAAACTGATCTCCATACACTCTCTTAAAGAACTAGTTGAGAGAATTTAATAAAAGATCAAAGCATTTCCCTTTGGTGATCATGTTATTAATTCTCATAATAACCTTTTCTCCTTATGGTGAATTGATTTTGTTAGGAGAAAATTGATTTTGGTCTCTCTTGCTCTGAATTATTGGAGAAATTTAAAGGCACATGCAGTACAAGTTTTATTGTATTCCACTCTTTTTACATGAGAAGTCTTTTATTAAGAATATAGAGACTATAGAGGCTGAAATTGGCGAAATTTTAAGAATGTGTTAAGAATATTCTCAAGGCTGAGATTTTATTAGAAACATTTTTTGCATAAAATGCATTAAAAATTGCAACGTTTTAAATGAACTTTATTCAACAGAGAGTAGTTTCTTTCCATTTCCTGCTAAACTGTGCTTGTAAGACGATAAAAACTATTACGGCGTACTATTAAGTACGCGTGTTATTTAACCTGATACACACACAAGCCATAAATACAAACTAATGTACAGTACGCTGTAATCTAAGAGTGTACACATTCAAGGATATTTTTAACCTAACTTTGGCAGAATAATAGGAATATCCAACATGAGCGTGAAAAACACGTTCTTATGTATTTAAAACAGATTATATATAATAGATTCTTCGAAATGAGCAGCATTGATGCCAAATGGCCTAAAACGTTGTTTGCCACTTTAAAATGGCACATTTTGAATGTGTAGAATTCTTTGGAAACAGTAGATTCTGTGAAATGAGCAGCATTGATGCCAAATGACTTAGAACTTCGTTTGCTACTTCAAGGTGGCACATTTTGAAAGAAGGCAGAATTCTTTGGACACACCTAGCCGATTTTATGAAAACCAACAGAAAAGGCATCAAAAGGCAAGTTTCTTGGGCCCGATAAGCTCCAAAATCACACTAACGAAGGAAAAGGAAAGGAGAAAAAGAAAGAGCGAGGAGGAAGAAAGGAGAAGAAGAGAAAAGAGCAATGGTTGCACTCTCACTTTTTATAGTGGCTACTTTTGGCCGAAAAAAAACTTATTGGACAGAAAAGGTCCTTTTGGCGGCGGTAACGTTTTCAAAAAATACGGCTAGATGCATACCTACATTGTATATAGCAAGAGCAATATTAGCAAAAAAATCAACTCTTTCTAGTATTTGCCAATTTGAAACAATAAAAAATCATTTAAAGGCCGATTAAAAGCCTCTATCTGACGCCGGGCAGTAAGTTAGTGGTCCGTAGTAGCATTTCACGGAGTCCAAATTTCAGATTCAGTAATCTTACTCCGTGTGTTTCTAGGACCGATAAATGACAGATTTTCACGTGGAACAGACATGCAACAAACATTGAAACATAGACAAATTATAACCTTCTGATCTGCAAAAACCGGCCTTTGATTCAAAGCCAAGTGCCTGCTAAAACTAGACCTAGATCCAATTTTCCTGAGTCGAGAAGTGTTTTTCTATGGCACGGCACCTAACCGTCGAAGCGTTTTTAATGCCCAGTACAGAATATTTCAGTGCAACACCACATACCTAAGTTCTGCCTGTCAACATTAACCGGAAATCACACAATCATTCACTTTCCGACACTGATAACACTATCCACAACCACGCATAATCTTTTCACGTTGAGCGCAAGCGAAATATTAATAACTCGGAAAACTCAGTCTATCGGTAGATCAACACCTCTACACATTTCTCTTACACTTGTCTTATTCAAGTTCCCGGATGTATAGTCACACGCCCGGCAGACCAACATAGACCCTGTTTTTACACCAGAAAAAGTCTTCGCCCGGGTCAAAGTTCACCAGCAATTTTGCTCTCGCCTAATAGATTTGACTACAAGAACCCTGTTTCCGAGGCCAAAGACTCAGAGGTCACCCAAGAAAGGCGTACAATGTCGTACCTTTCTGTCTCAGCCCGGATGAGGATGATTGTTCCGTTTAGCCAAATGAAACGAGACTACAATATGATATTGGACGATGCAGACTCTGCGAATCGTACTCTGTCCCTTCTCAGAGCTATATATGACGCTCTCCGGGAAACTTTTCTTAAAGTGACCAATAACGAAATATAAACTGCTAAACGGTACCGAAACCAGCTTTAGGCGCCCACCGATTTCAAATAACAGTCACTTGTGTTAGACAGAGAATTCTGGGTAGGAAATATACAACACCCTCTGAGAAGGGAGGGGGAGCTAAAACGCGAATTCGCGAAATGCTGTCTACAGCCTCTTCTTCACAAATCCCAAATCACGAAACAACGAAAAAAAGATGCGACATAAGCAAACAACACAGTAAACAAGCTAAGGAAAGGGAAGTTGTGAGAAAATACAAAATGTTTGCTAACTCGGTTTATTCCTTATAGTACTTTGCTCCTCCTTTAAATATTGAGTAGCGCTTATGTAAGAAAAATACACTTACACAGAAACACTAACTGGTTACTGCCCCTTACTTTACAGGTGAAAAAAGAGAACGCTACATCCCTATTCTCATTGAAGACAGCTACAGACACAGGATACCGAAGACAATAAAACATCTCTATCATCTTGATTATACCAGGGTAGACGAGTCAATCTTTTGGAAAAGATTAGCAGACTGTCTGACTACATAGCATGAAAGTTGGCAGAAAGGGGGTTGATTTTTGTGAATTTCGGAAGGAATGCAAACCATTGTTATTTTGAGGCCTTTTTTCGGAGACACAATGACGGAAGTTGAGAAGGTTAGTCTAACTTTTGCAAGTTGCAATCCATTCCTTTCTCGTTTATCCATCCATGGCCACAGACAACTGTGAATGGTGTCAGTGCATGCGAAAAATTTCCATCATTGTTATAACCTCGAAACTTACATGAGTAGAGCATTGAACGTTCGCCTAGTAAAGTGTGAGATAGATTGCAAGATACCCGCAGCGCGGAATTAGTAGGGAGCTTAAGCAACTACGACGTCGACCACAACGACAACTTCAAAAAACAATAGATTTAAGGATCAAAACAACAGCTCTGCACGTGCATCACGCTTTTTAGTCCATTTCTTTGACGTCCACTGCACGACTTCGACGTGAAACCTCCTAATTTGACGTTTTATGGAGGACGTAGATATACGACGACGAATTTTCCTTCCTCTTTTTGAACCTGAATAAAATCCTTAAGAATTCAACTCCAGGAAAAGTCGCCTGCTTTTGACATATTGAGTGGGTACAAATAGACGCGATTAAGTTTGAAAGAACGCAAATTCATTTTTTTTACCGACCTTTTCACTGCCGTCGTCGTCGTCCTTGCTTAAGGTCCCTAGTGTATCTTTTTACCCGTGGGAAACTAGTTTAGTTATCTTTCAAAGATATGCTAGTTTGCCACTTGTCTCTCAGAATTCCTTCCACCCCGTACGAGGTAAATAAGTACAAAGAAAAATTAAGCTTTGAATTAGATGTTCACGGTATACATCCAGAAAGCATTGGATAACTTAATCTATCCACGTTATTTATCATATCGTTAAACAAAACCCGTGGGATACCGCAGAATATGTAACTGTTTTCAGTCATAGGATTGGTTGTATTCAAAGCTTGAGATGCATTTAGTGCAAAGCTCTTTTTTCTCCTAATTTCCACCAATCTGGAAATTATTGAATTATTGTTGGTTTAAAACCTTTTTTATGTTAGTAATCAGCAACGATGTGTCGAATTTGTATCGCTATTCAATGTAGTATTACTGGTCTTCTTTAATGGGTGTATACGGCTTCCGAATGAACTTAACTGTCTCGTTTTTGAAACATTTTTGTACAAATTTATGAATGGTAAAATTTGTATGGATTTGCAAAAAGGTACTCCCAGGATTTTTTAGCAACAGCCTCGTTTCTTTCTGGTCACCTGTAGCAAAGTTTTCTGAAAGGCATCATTAAACCTTATAAAGGAACAAGTTTCACGATTGGAAAAGCCTGTTTCCTGCAGGTTTGTTTTAATAGATCTTTACATGTCCATTCAATCCATACGTAGTTCTTTCTTAATGTGATTCATTGAAATCATAAGAATTTTGATGTTGTTCTTTATTGTGCTCCATATTTATGGAGTAGTTACCTAGCGACAATGAGTTCTTTTCTCCTACTTTCGCAGTAATATTTCTCTCCCTATTATGAACTGTGCTTATGCTAAAAAATCAAAACAAAGAGCAATTTGTTCCTGTTATTGTTTTGTTCCTTTAGTATCATCAATTAACGGCATCGTGTTTGTGTTGAACTTCTATCGAATAATGACTTAGGTCTTTCTCGATAATAGTCGATAATAATCAATAAAAATCGATGAAAAATCATTATCAATTTCTATCGGAAATCGATATTAATTGAAGTCACAATTTTTCGTTATCGATTTCTTTCGATTGATATCGGAAATCGATATTCATCGATGATTGATATCGATTACTATCTAGTATTATCGATTATCGGTTTATCGATTAACTACGTCTGGTACAGAGTATACTTCTATCAACCACATAGTTTTTCCCTTTTCACTAATACCAATAATGCAACAGGTTTATTAAAAGGCACATGAATTCTGGATCATGATATTTTTCCTTCAGTTATGCATTTCTTGGGGGCAGAACTTGGGCCTTCCTGGATAGCACTAGAGAGAGACGTAATCGGCAGATAAATACCCAACACTAAATAAATGTTAACACTCGAGTGATTGGTTTTGCGTTTTTGTGGGCTTTCGTCAAATGTCTAGCTCGCAGACAACCGATCTGGGGAAGCACTATGTTTCATCCTCTCTTGCTATATCCCATTTTTCTGAGAGAGTTTGCCCAAATGGGTTGTCGAACTATTCCACCTGACAGACTAGAATAGTGCGTCATGGTCAATAACAACAGAGTGAATGATTAATGAGCTATGAGTGTCGGTTTGTATATATTGAACTGAATCAGAAAACACATGAGTTTGTGCAAGAGCCATAGTTATGGCTCTTGACCGTAACAGGTCAAGGAAAACGGGCCGAGTTAACTTTCGCACAGACTTCTGGGACTGTTACTAGGGACAGGGGAATTATTGTTCAATTGCTGACGGGTGTGTCCCCAGTAACGATCTCAAATTGCGGGACATTTCGGCTGCTTCTCGTTTCTAAAGGAGGGAATTGAGACTGATGGAAAAAAGGCGAACAGGTATTACATTTTGAGTTACGTTAGTTCCAAAAGTGCATCATCTTGTGGGCAAAACAAAAACAAAACAAGAACAGACTACCTGATAAGAAATCAGTAAAATTAAGCATAATAATTATCTACCATTGACTTGGTTTCTGCTCGTTGACGGTGGCCCTGTCTCCTGCGACGCAAACGTGCCCAGACATTTGGTTAAAGGTTTGATGCAGGTGATATTCTGAGACGGAGATACATAACAAGAAAAAAAATAAGTTCCGCTTTGTCATGAGCCATCAGTCTCCTTGGCTCCAAGGACACCAATAATCATATTAGGCTCGGTTCAGAAGCCGAACTTTTCATGAGCCGAACCTAATTCGAATTAAGGCCGATCCAAATTATTAAGACCGGCTGAACTGATTCAGACACCGATCCAAACTGCAGCTGAACTAAGTTCAAAACGCGAAAATTGCTCATTTCGGTCAAACAGCTTACAAAATACGTTATAATAATTTATGTATTAGGTTCGGCACATGAAAAGTTCGGCGTCTGAATCAAAGCCGTTCCAAAGTCGCTCCAAAGGCGAAATTCCCGGCCGGGCTAGGCGAAAAGAACGGCTGAGCCATTCTAACTTGAAACAGGCGTTCCTAATTGATTCAGACGCCGAACTTTTCATGTACTTAATTCATTGTGTTAGGATCGGCTCGTGAAAAGTCCGACGTCTGAACCGGGCCTTAGGGAGCTTAAGCAACTACGACGTCGACCACAACGACAACTTCAAAAAACAATAGATTTAAGGATCAAAACAACAGCTCTGCACGTGCATCACGCTTTTTAGTCCATTTCTTTGACGTCCACTGCACGACTTCGACGTGAAACCTCCTAATTTGACGTTTTATGGAGGACGTAGATATACGACGACGAATTTTCCTTCCTCTTTTTGAACCTGAATAAAATCCTTAAGAATTCAACTCCAGGAAAAGTCGCCTGCTTTTGACATATTGAGTGGGTACAAATAGACGCGATTAAGTTTGAAAGAACGCAAATTCATTTTTTTTACCGACCTTTTCACTGCCGTCGTCGTCGTCCTTGCTTAAGGTCTCTATTGTTGTACTCAAAGTCAAACAGCTTTTTGTGGATTACATAGTGTTCGGTCTAATTTTTTTTTGTAGAAAATGTCTAATTACTTAGCGAGCAGTTGCATTAACGAGGTACGTCAGTTTGAAATTAACGAAACTTAGTTGTGTAAAGTATGTCGGGGTCCAAAATGTATCTCCTGAACAACTGCGTGAAACGAATAATCAACCAGGGGAGGTTCTTAATTGCTTCTGGAAATGGTGTGAGATTGATTGTGACCGGTCTTAAAGTATCAAATCACTGTAGTGACCTTGACCATTCTATGACGGAGGAATGGATAAAGATTTTCTGAAACTACCCGTTGTATTCGTCTAATGTTATAAGATCCTGCCTCATTTGTCAGGCTGAATTGGTTCTTGTATATTACGTGCTTTATTAGCCAAATATCAGATTTGAGTATCTTAATCTACTGTTTCTTTTACGAGGATGTTTACTGTATTAAATACACAGGAGGAAAATACACTGTTACCGAGTTTTTCACACTGTATTTGCCCATGCTTCTTAAGCTGATCAAAGCTAGCCAATGGAAATGTTTCATCAGCGGAAGCTATTGACAGAGCGCCAAAATTTTCAAGCATCTGTGAATCGTTCACACCTATAAAATAAAAAGGTAAAAAATTTTAGATTTATTCAGAGCTAAAAGCGAAGCTCTCGATAATACTTGTAGTTTGTTCAAACAAAATATAAAATTGCGTAATGCTAAGCGGTGAAGGCAGTGCCGGATGAAAAACAACAATATAGGTCTAATTAGCAAAAAAGCAACTTTGCACGTGCAGCACACTTTTTTTGTACACTTCTTTGCCGTTGTTTTGCACAACTACAACGTGAAACTTCCAGAAACTTTATAGTCACACGTTTTTTGAAGGAAATGTCGTACGTGTTCTCCTTCACTTTTTTTTTCACTGCCGCTCATTTTCATCTTGCATTGGTGGCCGCTAGCATGTCTCCTTTTGTCACCGCCGCTACAAAATTTTCATTTTGTTCTTCCAACAAAAAAAATGTCTCCTTAATTTTTTTTTATCTCTTGCTCTAGATCTCTGTCGCCCTTTTTCGCGTTGAGCTTCGCTGACCTGCCGCCTACTTTCTGTTTTTCTGTCTTTCTCTTGCTCTATATTCCAAATTTGTGGACATGACAATTAACCTAAGCTTAACACTTTAGACAACACGGATACAGAAACAATTTCAGCTTCCATTTTCGTCTTTATTGATTCTTTAGTTGTGTCTGCTTTGCAAGACGCCGGTGGCGATGCAATTTCGCGCCAAAATAACCTCGAGATGCATTTGGGTTTCCATACCCGTTGATTGAGTTATTTTACATTGGTATGCCTTTAGTGCGGAAGGACGGTCGTTCGGTCGGTGTACGGTCATGTGGTTACCAAATTTTCTGGAATGGATGGATTTTCTTACCCATGGTGCTTCGCGCGCGAGAGAGCTCCGCTATTAATTGCCAACGAGCCATCTGAGCGAAGACGCTCGGATGGCGAGGCGGCAGCAGAATAGAGCCGCGTAAGACTGGGCAATAGGCAGAAAAATTCTCGATCGAGCTGAAAAAAGTGTAACCTAATGTAATGTAGATTCCCCTGAGACCAAGTGGTCAAAAGGCAGTACCTGGCGCACGGGCTCAAGTTGAATAACAAACAAAATTTCACACACTTCCCGCCGTCGTGACTTCCTGTGTTTATTGACCTAAATTTTTTCCTCAAACCCGGCCACCGCAGTCAAGAGACATGAGCACTTGATATATTCTATTAATTTTAGGGGCCATAATGTTAAGTTTTAACGAAGAGAAGTTTGTAAAACAGCAAAAGTGTTCTATGTGCAGCAAGCAATATTCTCACCACTAAAAAGGATCAGATTACACGAGGAGATAAGGAAAGCTTGACACGAAGAATGCAGTCGCTTCTGTTGGAAAATCTGGTGTTGGGGAAAAAAATCTAACCAGCAAACAAAAACAATGAGAACAAAAACGAATTACAAGCCTAAAGCGAATGACAAAAGAAAAGAAAACAACGCCATTTTTTCGAAACCTGGCCGAGTTCAGTATAAAAATAATGAACTAAAATTAAATACCGACGTGCCGTACATCGCATGTCCATGGAAACATTTCAGATGGCCCAGCGAATCATTCTAAGTGTCAATCCGATAACAAAAAGTCTCGGGAAATTTGTGTAAATATTTATCAACTATGTGAAACCGAACCGACAGTAGATTTGTAGCTGGACTTAATAATATTCCCGATCGCTTCCTCTGCAAAGCTGACTTTATTCTTTCAAGGCACCTGAGAACTTTTCAAGAAAATAATCCTTGCAACAGGAAGGGACCAAGAAACGGTCAAATGGGAAAAAAAGGAATTTTATTCCTAAGCAAAATACGCATGATTTGCTCGTTGGCACTCTATCGATAGGTATACCTAGTAATTAGTATTTACCAAATCAGTGGATAGCGATTTTCGCGCGTTCTGATAGCCGCCCTTGGATATTCACTGTTTTGAGACGAGATTCAAAATGGCTTCTTTTTCGGGACAGTTTCGAAAGATGAAATTTTAGTTGTAAATGAAGCAGCTTCACCAACAAATACCAAGAAAGAGACAAAATTTGGCTTGAGGGGAAAAAAAAAATTTTCTTACTGAATTTGCAACAATATCATAAAAAAATGATCCCCGAAACACTGTCAGTTGCAACGTAAACAAAATCTAACTAACTGACGTCTTGTCTGTTATTTACAAAAAGTTACTCAATGATTTTTATCCAACTAATTTAGTAAATACTAAAACAGCTATCCCCGTTAGGGTAGGTTCATAGGGCTAGATATATACCTTGACGCTTTGCGTCTGGATATATATACCCACCACTATTCACCTCCCCTTCGGGGGATAGTTGTATATTATTGTTTTAGTAAGAATAATTGATTTAAACGGGTAAAATCTTATTGATGCGCAAACAGTAGGTAAAGTCATTGATATAATGCAGTCAAATAACTGACTCTTACCAACAAGGTGAACTTCTGGTATGCATGTTCCACCAGCTGACGAATCGGCCAACGTAAGGAAGTCCTTGCTGTCGAGGGACATTGCCTCAGACCCCCATTTGTACACCAGGCGGAGGCTTACAACCGTTTCTACCGTGTTGACAGTGCGTATTTTAAGGTGGGACTTACTTACTTCTTGTCTCGTTTCCACGAGATCTGTGCCCAGCTTTTTCTTGAGGTCGTCTAGAGCCTCCAATAGCTTCTGCTTCTTTGTCGAACAAAGACACACTCGAAGAACGTCCGATGCTTGCTCTTCCAGCTTTATTGCAGCTACGTCGACGAAATGCACCATGCATCTATTTAAACCTTCTTCACCGGAAGGTTTCATGACTATGACAGATTGGAATGCTCCTCTCTTGCTAATTTGTCCATCGATGTGTACACAAGCAACGACGCAAAGCTGTAGTTCATCTCCAGGATTTTTCTTCAAATGGAAACTCTGAGAAAATGTGTCCAGTGAGCTATCGTACTCAACAATCTCACTGTGAAGAGTCATGGCAACATTTGTTGAGTTAATGAGTTCAAATTTCACCAGTTTTGCCGGATCAAACTTTGCGAAGTTTACGAGACTCAGTGAAACGTTGCAAAAATCTCGTAAGACGACTCCATCGGTTGTGTCAACTCGCTCGGACACGATGTCTCGTAGGCGTCCAGAAAAGAGTTCTAATCTCTTGTATAACCTCACATCTTGCTTGCAGTATTTGTAAAAGGGCTTTAGTACCTCCAGCATGTGGAGAACTGCCAAGTTTTCACCCCACTTCTTTATTTCTATTGATGGCAGGTCACAATTTTGCAGACACAACAGCTCCAAAATTCTGCTTACGTCATAAACAAGCTGCCCGACTTTGTTGTTTCTCTCAGCATTTCGAATACTTAAATCAAACTGCTCTATTGTTTCTTTAGGTAGTCCCCTTAAGCCATTTTGTACTTTTGAAACCTCCTCCTCAACGAATATTTCTTTGGTGATTTGAATGAGGTAAGGAACAACGGCCACAAAAGCTTTGGTAGACTCTTTTGGTGAAGAGAATATCTCTGGATGTCTCTCTTTAATGTCTTCAGGCACAGGGCGATGAATTTCCATGTAGTGTACATAGCTGCTGGATGAAGCCGCTCTTTCAACACCTTCCGCAGAAGTTTCCAACTCAATGCAACAGTCCCTTAACAGTGTGTTGCAAAGAGATTGGATCTGACAGGCAAAATACTTCATTAAGTTGGCATCTGTTCGTTGCAAGCCCGAGATCTTAGCTGCATATTCTCTCAAGTGTCTGACATGCATCTGGCCCCGATGTGTTACGTTGTAAGTTGAACCTAGTAATAGTAAAAAAAAAAGAAATGGAATCACAAAGTCAATTTTCAAAAGGGTACAGCGATGCTTTTATGTCTCACAGTTTTGCAGTTTGTCTTTTCATGAAAAGCCCGTCCTCTGTAAACGCATCTTTTTAAGAACGCCGCTTTGCTTTACCAGTGCAAATGGAAGACGGAGGTTTTGAAAACGATGACGTCACGAACGCAGATACCAGTAAATGTGTATGCTCCCACCAAAGATGGTACCGTTTTCAGTAACTTTCACTTTTTCGTGTCGACGGGCAAAAATGATTAGAAAACGCACCGTGCAGACGCGGACTTTTCAGAAAACAGAGAAAATAAACGTCCGTTTGCAAATAAAAACGGATGCGTGTGGAACGTGCCTACCTTTTAATTCATTGCAAGGCAAGAGCATAAGGCAAGTTTCCACACTATCTGAAGTCAGCTTATCTTCTCTAAAAAAGTGGTCAAAAGCAGGTTGCAGTGACAATAAATTCGGGCGATAAGCATGACGATTGGGAAATTTATTGAATTCAAGTGTTGTTTGGTTAACTCTGGGAACCATTCTATAATAGGTTACATCATTATTAAAATCAGGTTTGGTTGTATCATGTTCGCATAAATAGGTGACCGGGATATGAGGGCACACTAAGCGCCGGAATTAAGAATTTAAGCCCTCTCAAAATCTTTTGATCACCTCTCTCACTCGAAATTCGGAGTACCTCCTCCTTCCCTCAGGGATTAAAACAGCCTACCAGAACGCTCCTTGGACTCGCAGACGAGGAGGTGTTGAAGGGTAAGAGGGAAAGAGAATCTAGCCTTTCCTTAGTCACCCTGCCCACAGAGCCTTGCAAAAGTCTTTTTCTTATACGGATGTTTTACTTCCCATTGACATTACGAAATTGAATGGATCATTTTCAATGCGACCACTACGTAGGTCGTTGGGTAAACGTGATGGCGATCGTGAAGAAACCATACACGTCCCCACCAAACTGCAGCCACCTCACAAAATCCATTTATATAGGATTAAGCGTTAATATATAGATTTAGCCAGGGCTAAAAGCGAAGCTCTCGATAATATTTATAGTTTGTTCAAACAAAATATAAAATCGTGTAATGCTATGCGGCGAAGGCATGCAACGCCGGAAAACAACAATAGGTCTAATTAGCAAAAGCAGCTTCGCACGTGCAGCACACTTTTTTGTACATTTCTTTGCCGCTGTTTTGCACGCCTACAACGTGAAACTTCCAGAAACTTCTTAGTTACACGTTTTATGGAGGAAATGTCGTACGCGTTCCCGTTCACCTTTTTTCACTGCCGCTCATTTTCACCTTGTATTAGTGGCCGCTAGCATTTCTCATTTTGTCACCACCGCTACAACATTTTCATGTTGTTCTTCCAACCAAAGAAAATGTCTCCTTCGGTTTTTTATCTCTCGCTCTAAATCCCTGTCGCCTTTTTTCTCGTTGAGGTTTGCTGGTCTGCCGCCCACTTTCTCTTTTTCTCTGTCTTTCTCTTGCTCTATATTCCAAATTTGTGGACATGACAATTTATCTAAGCTTAATACTTTAGACAACTGGACACAGAAACAATTTCCGCTTTCCGTTTTCGTCTTTATTGATTCTTTTGTTGTGTCTGCTTTACAAGACGCCCGTGGCTATGCGATTTCACGCCAAAATAACCTCGAGTTGCATTTGGGTTGCCATACCTGTTGATTGAGTTATTTTACGCTGGTATGCCTGTGGTGCAGACGAACGGTCTCTCGGGCGGGCGGGTGGTCGGTGTACGGTCACGTGATTTCCAAATTTTCCCGGATGGGTAGATTACTTCATTTTCTTACCCATGGTGCTCCGCTGGCGCGCTTCGCGCGCGCGAGCTCCACTATTATAAAGACTAACCTTGCTTTGTCTTTCTCCAGCACTCGAGGTCTTTACTGAGTGAAGTTAGGTCTTCTGCCATATAGTTCTCCCTCAACCTTTCTTGCAATATTATGTTCAGTTGCTCGTCATCCCCCGTCCGAGACATCACAACTTGGTTGATCAGCTCCTCTGGCATCTCAAGCACGCGTGCAATCGGCACAGTGTTAAAAATTTCTCCATGAACCTTTAAAAGGTTTCTTACGTAGCCGCAAAGATCTGCGAGAATTTCATTTATACTCGTTAGACAACAGCAACGGAAACGAGTCATCCGAATTACCCATATTTATCTATTACATGTAAAACAAGAGAGAACAATGGGACAGAGAGGAATCTTAAAGCGTTGGCCAGGACATGTGAATTTCCCTGAAGTTATAGCGGGGCTCCCACGCGTGCGAAGCGCGCGTGGGACAGAGCCCCATACCCATAGATTATGGTCAACCTCTTTTCCTTTGGTTGTCACGTGATTGACCGAGCGTACGTACGCGTCTACGGATTGTACGGGTGGGGTAGGGGAGACTATCAAAAGGAAGGGAGGGGTGTCTCAGGCGTGTCTTGCCAAGTCCACATCTTTTACATTGGACATTCATAATATGGTCAATTGACAGCTGTCAAAACAGGACAGCCACTGACCAGTATCCCATGACCATATCGCAGGCTCATGTGTCAACTCATTGAGGTGACGTGATTTATTTGGAAGCTGTCCGCTGACCAGTTAATTATTTTTCTAGATCGCGATCAATGTTCAGTGTCATACTTTCTAGCTAGTTTGGGATCGGAGCACAGGAAAACTGATACACGTCAATGTTGTGATCCTTTGAGAGCTGTCAAAACAAGGTATCCGCTGACCAGTATCAATTGACTGTATCGCGGGCTCAGGTGTCGACCCATCGAGATCAAGTGTTTTTTTGAAGTTATCCGCTGACAAGGTACTGGTTTTCAAATGATCGCAGGCTCAAGTTTAATTTTTTTTTGAAATTCATATGAAATATGTTGTGTTTATGGGCCGCACAATTAAAATTTTGATTTCAAACTGACCTCGGACGCGAAAATTCAGCCAGCTGCTACACGCAGGGAAATTTATTAATGGGAGCCTCGCTTTTAACCCTGGCTAAACCTATATATTTTTTAGAGGTTGAAATGAAACGGAAGTCTAATTCCTGGGACGTTCGCACATTTTAATCGGTTTTTTGAGCAGCAAGTCCAAGTGCAACCGCCTCAAAGCAAAGAATGGAGCTATTGTAATGGCAAGACTCCAAAAATTCATATCCCGTTATTCTTTCCTGACACCACCGAAGAAAAGTTTGTGGACATCTCCAGAAACCAAATTCCGGTCAATTTCAAGGGTTTTATTGGTCTAAAAATAACTTTGGTGAAATTCACATATCAGAGTTGACCCTGCCACATGGTGTTACTTGAGACCCCGGCACTGCTTGGCAGGCGTTTGATAGGTAAGGAAGAATTGGGGAGGGGCAATTTAGGAGCGCGAGAACGCCCGATTTCTGAACATGCACTACAGAGGGTAAGGATGCATGGCCCTATATCCTAAAAAACGTTCTTTCGGAGGACGAAGTAACGTAGAAAATAGGGAGAAAAGTAATCCCGTTTAACCCACCAACTTCGCAGAATTTCCTCTCACTAATGTGGCCAAACGCTCCTTTAACAGTGATTGTACCACAAGCAATCCTAACATCTTTCATACTTCTTTCCAGTGGAATTGGAACGACATAGCCCATGCTCCACCAAACATACGAATCCACCTGGAAATCGCTGGTAATTTCATGCTGTCTGCCAGCCAGATTGTAGTCCTCTCCTAGGTAGATTGATATATGAAGGCGCTCATTGTTAAAGATGCCAGTTTCTTCTTGATCATTCATAGGACGTACATGTAGTTTTCTAAATCCTTTATTTTTCAGTTCTATCATAGCGGAAACCTCTTGCTTCTCATAGAACTGTTCATGGTAGACATCTTGGCTCACGAACAACAAGGCAAGCTCGTCGCTTTTTGGATACACGGAGTTGTCGTTAAGCCACACTGATAAGGTGTAGTGGAATGACATTAAGTTAAACCTAGTCAGCAAGCGAACCTGAGTGAATCTTACCACAGTTAACAAAATGGCAATGAGTGAGAAATGTTCCATTTTAATGTGCACTTCAGCATTTGACTTATCAAGCGTCGTGGCCACCGAGTTAGGAGTGACATCTTCCCAGGTGATCATTCTACTACGTTCCTCCCTTCCATTCAAAATAACAACATCACTGCAAGTAAAATTTCCTATTTCAAATTTCACGATCAGTGTGACAGGTTTCTTGAACAAGAGACCGTCAGGTTGAAGGCGAATGACGGGTGCACCAAACATGACGTCATTTTGAAGACTATTTTGAACAATAAGGCCATAGTATCTGGAAGGATCCTCTAACGAAATGCTTACAGACACAGGATTTTCTACTGCTCCAGGAGGGAAAACCAGTTTGATATTCTTCTCAGTGACAACACCGCCCGTACTAGAAATTACGTTGATCATTCGCTGCGTCGGGTGACTTGTGTGTATGCATGTGTCCGTCCTTTGCAAACTTTGCCCGGCAGTCACTAGAGAGGAGACGATTTCTGTATTTAAAGATAGACAATAGGCCGAGGTTAGCTCCAAAGAAACTTTATGTATAGTGTTGCGATTAATTTGACAAAGTTAGTTGACAAAGAGAAGTCTACGGTAGCCAATTTATTTTGAAGCATTACGCAGTAGTACAAGTAAACCTGTCCTTACATGGTGAGAATAAGCTATTAACAAAAAGCTGATAGTTTTAGGTTCAAACCCCGGGTATAGTCCAGTCAGTCTAGGAATTTTCGAGGCTCAACATCAAACTACAGTAGAAACTGTATATAACGGCCACCCTAGGGACTTGTGGAACTGGGGTCCGTTTCTCGAAAGCGGTAAGCTGTCTCCGTTTACATTAAAGATTGAGGTTTCAATAGTTTTGCATCTAGCATGATAAAACTATCAGTTAATGAAACAAAATGGAGTAGTTTGCTAGCCAGGACCCCCACCCTTATTCTTTATTTTTGGATTTGAATATTTGATTTCGGGCCCGTAAAGTTACCGGGACTTTCGAGAAACGGGCCTCTGGCCACTTAATACAGGATCACTAAAAATACTCACTGGGCGTAGTCTAATGTCAATTTTAAAGGCGTATCATACAAAAACACTTCATGCAAAGAAGCAATTGGTCAAAGCGATCAATACCTTAAACAATGCTCAGTGCCAACTTGAAACTTATTTTTACTTGAGCTCGGATTCCTTTGTTCTTCTCGGGGGAATGTATTACATAACCCCCGACTCAATTGTCTGAAAAGCTGGGTGCTGATTTGATTGTTTGAAGGGAAGAGCGGGGCTAATGAACAGGTAATTAAAATAGAGAGGATTATGTATTAATATGAAGGGGGATAAGTCACTTACCCCCCTGCATATTAATACATAATCCCCTCGCCTTTTAATTAGTTTTGTGAAGAACAAATTTACAGATGTTTATTGGAAATATTAAACACGACGCTACAATTACTAAAATTAAATTGAGCTGCGATTCTTTTGCGCCACATTCCGTGGATTTTCTTAGTTGGTGGTTCCAGTCATCGACTTCCACCGTCAGAAAGAAATTGAACAGCGTCTTTAAAATTCCACGTTTTGGAGCCACCACTAAAGTTTCGCTGTCATGGTAAGGCATTCCGTTCTTTAACCCAGTGCATCCCAAGCTCGTGTACTCCATGTAGTTGACCTCTTTGTGTTTTGAGGTATTCTTGCTTTATTCCTCGACTGGATTACTTTGTCACAGCAGTGACCCCTCTCCTGGAATCTTCTTTATCTGTAAACAGGTCGGTCGAAAAATCCTCGGTGCAAAAATTGAAATTGTCAACTACTTGCTTGTTGTATGCACCCGAAAATGAAGATTCAAAACTGTTTTCCGAAAGCTCAATTGCTGTACCGCCAGTGGGGCTGCTTTAGTTTGAGCAATAAACGGTTCTACTTCTGACTCTAAATCGTTCGACAATGCTAGGCTCTGTAGACTGTTTCTAGCATTTACTACGAATAACTACTTAGAAATGCAACTTTGAAAAACTAACAAAATTAAAAAGCCAAGAAACTTGTGAATGCCACTAGTGCCAGCATCGAGTGTTGAAAAACAAAAGAAAGAACAAGAGACTCATTTTTCTTCAAAGTATTATTGTATCCCTTCAGGAATCCTCGGAAGGGAAGGGTGTCTCAGGCGTGTCTTGGCAAATCCACATCTTTTATATTGGACATTCACAATATGGTCAATTGACAGCTGTCAAAACAGGATAGCCACTGACCAGTATCACATGACCATACCCCGGGCTCATGTGTCAACTCATCGAGGTGACGTGATTTATTTTGAAGCTGTCCGCTGACCAGCTAATTGTTTTACTAGATCGCGATCAATGTTCAATCTCATACTTTTTAGCTAGTTTGGGAGCACAGCTGATAATGCACACATATTCGAATCCATGTTGTGATCAATTGACAGCTGTCAAAACAGGGTATCCGCTGACCAGTATCACTTGAGCGTATCGCGGGCTCAGGTGTCGACCTATCGAAGTCAAGTATTTTTTTGAAGTTATCCGCTTACAAGTTACTAGTTTTCAAATGATCGCAGGCTCAAGTTTATTTTTTTAAAAGTCATGTGAAATATGTTCTGTTTATGTGCTGCACAATTAAGATTTTGATGTCAAACAGACTTCGGACGCGAAAATTCAGCCACCTATTACAGGCAGGGAAGACAGTTGCTTTTGACTTTGCTCACTATGGTTACGCGTTGGTCACGCTGTACTTCCAATCTTTATGCTCTGATTGGTCAAAATTTGACAGGTGAGTTCATGCGGAAAATTTATGCAACATCTTGAATCTTGTTTACTTTGACAGCTCAAGCTGACAGAGTTTTGTGTCAACGTGTGATGTTTTTAATTGTCTTTTTCCACTGGATGCACAAAATGAAATTCAGCTGCTATCAAGAGTCTTTTGTTGTTCATGGCTAGTTAGTTTTTGGATGAGAAATACATCACTTGTCAAGGTCGGAAATCCGATTTCGGATGGCATCGTTTTCGTTTTTCACCTTGCTTGATGCGCAAGGGTTGAAAAGTCTCAAGCGATACTGGCCTTATTTGATACCTCTCAGGGGCTGCATCTCGAATGGTAAGCCTGAGTAATTATTGTATTTGATGTTTGTTTTTTATATCTAATTTAACGAAGTCGAGCGTAGTTTATGCTGCTATTTAGTTTATGCACGTTTGTAAGATTTGAGACAATTTGATCTGACCGAGAATCAGGTTTGATATAAGCTTACAGAACTTTAAAAAGCCTTTAGACATTTTCTCACCGCAAGTAGAAAGAAAACATTCCAAAGAACATTTAGTTATAATTCTCGCTGTAAAAGAAAGCTTTGAGAGATTTTCTTGCCTCGACTTTATCTTTCAAAAAAGTAAAAACTGGAAAGCCGGCTTAAAACATAAACTTAAGCTTTAAGCTTTAAGCTTCAAGACTCAAGATTTTTAGAGACACTTTAATACTTGTCTTCGTGAAAGAAAAATGTTGTCTCTGTATATGTTTCACCGAATTATATTTCTTTTATTGATTGTTGGTAGTCTCTCTTGTAATTTTAATCGCTGTGCCGTTTGTTTTAAGTCGTTCAGTGAACATCGCTTGCAGGAGTACTCAAAATGACGCCCGTATCAAACGCTTTTATTAAAAGATTACACATCGATAAAACCATAATTAAATAGAAAATAAACATAATAAATTCTTTATTATGTTGGAGCTTAACTCTAGTATGTTCGTTTAAACACTGCAATTAAAAATTTTTTTAAAGGTTTAAAGGGAACCTCCACTTCAACAAAAAGATAACTTTAAATCACAGGAAATAACTGTTACAGTCAAGACAATCTAAAATATTTTTAAAGAAAGCGTTTGTATCCGAAAGAAATAACTTTTAGATTCGCCTATTTTTGTTTTCAAATTTTGCGGGCGTCGCCATCTTGAATAATTGTGAAGTGTTACGGTTGCCCTATTGTTATTAAACAAAAGCTCTTTGTGTCAGAACAATAGAGCAACCGTAACACGTCACAATTATTCAAGATGGCGGCGCCCGCGAAATTTGAAAGTGAAAATAAGCGATTTTAAAATTCACTTTTCCTGATATAAACACTTTTTTTAAGGACAAATTTCGAACAAATTTGTTTATCAACATAATTTTATTCGATTTAAACTTATTCTGTAGTAAAAGTGGAGGTTCCCTTTAAGCCCACGCGTGCTTCGATCGTCCTGAATATTGAATGAGTGCAATTTGTATTGCAAAATTGTGAAATACTGCATTCTGTCCGAGGTCTGTATGATATAAACAGTACCTCATAGTACTGTTTCACTTAAGATGTGATGTATAAATGGTATGAAAGGTTGGTTTACACGCACCCAGGTTTGTTGGCAAGATTTTCTCGAACGCAAAAAAATCGGCCCAATTTTTTTTCCAGGTCTGATTAATCTACGGTGATCAAGAGCCATTATGGCTCTTAAACTAGTGCGATCGAAAGAGATTGCTATTTTCTGAGTGTACATATGAGGCTATCAACTCGATGTAAGAATTTGTTCACTATTGGGCTGTTTGCAAATTATTCTTCACTAAAAGCCTTTCCCTCAAAAGTCACATGAATGTGCTATGTGCTCTAAAGTTAACTGAATTGTGGAATACAAGTTTATTGTTTGATTTAAATTATAAATATATTAATGGGAGCCTCGCTTTTAGCCCTGGCTGAATCTATATGTTAAAGAAAGACAAACATAGGACTGCTACAGGGTGGCCGCCGCCGGTAAATACAGGTGGCCGCCTAATACAGGTAACAAACACAGCGTTTGTGTGAGCGAAAAATCAGGACTTTGAAAACTGGCCGCTTTATAGAGAGTGGCTGCTTAACACAGGGCCGTTATATACAGGTTCGACTGTAATTGCCACAGAATTGTTTTTAACGCCATCTAATTAAGGATGGCCAATCTAGCAACATACTAAAAATCCGCCAAAATCCGTTCGGTGGAACATGTCAAAATTAAGCGTTAAAATTTTGAGCTTTAAACACAGGGTTCCCACGTTAGTTGACATTATACGTTTAAACAAAAAATGCACAAACTGTGTTTGTTACTTTAATGGAAAAGGGAGAGAAGAAAGAATAACTGCTTCCCAGTTTTCGGTGATAAAAATGAAGTGTTTCTTTTTTTTACCTTCGCAAAAAAAATTATGAAGATTAACGGAACATTCATCGCATAACTAACCTTGGCTCAAGTAAACTGTTGTTTCAAAAAAACGAAATAGTAATAGCAATAAGGAAGCAGGTTTTGAAGGGAAAGATTAATTCAGGGTAGCCAAAACAATGCCAATGTAAAAATATCTTGTAGGGGTCTATGGAGTAATGACGCAGAGCATAATTCACGCAACCCAGTCAGAAGGTTTACATGCACTGACGTGTTACGCAACGCTCATCCGAAAAGAAACATAGGTTCCGCAAATAGAGGTGAGCCATCAGAAACTAAGTCAGGCAAGCCCAGTATGTCGTACATATGTCCAGTACTTTCGCGCCTTCATTGACCACTGCAATTATTTTCAGACGTATAGCATCCCATTATCGTTGTAGAAAAAGAGGCCTTCATTTGCCAATGGACGAAAAAAACTGGTCAAAGTTCAGGGTTGTTCTCACAAAAGAAATGCAAGAAGGGAATATAAACGCCTTAAGACCACAGAGCCATTAATCTACTTATTCATCTTACCAAGAAATGAAGGACTGCCGCAGAAAATACAAACTGAACACACAGATACACTAAACTAAATCTGAGACTCGCTACAAGAAGAAGATAAAAAATAACAATCACACTGGGTCTGGTTTTCTGGATTTCCCTTACAACAGATTCGCTCAGGTGTAATGAAAAGCACAGAGAGTTACGATCTAGCAAAAACCAAATAGACGGAGTCCTTAGCAGAATATTTATTCACTCACATTGCAAAGTACGGAGTCACAATCCTAAAGGAGGTTGTGTATGTCGCGAGAAAAAAAACCCCCTGTTTTCGATCACACATATTGTGTCCAAGGTTTGAACATAACTACTTCACAAAACTCCATTACACGGAAAACGGGAGTAGCTTGAGCAGTTTGTACTGATAGAAAGCTATTGTTCGTTGTACACATTTAGTCGCACGTATCCTGCAGGATGGATGCAAATTTAGTAGCTGAGTGATGGGGAACAGTTTGATTTGATATTTTCTTGTTCACCATCAGTCAGCTACTAAATTTGTATCCATGCTGCATAGATATAAGAAATTATCAGCCTGTAAGCTGGTAAAATACTTACTGCATTTCTGATATTGCGCAAAAAATCAATTATTAATATTTTTAACCCTGTTAACACAGACTGACTAATAACTTCGCTTTTAAGTACGATCATAAAGCTTGGAATGTTAAGACAGACGAGTGGCTGGGTAACCTGTGCAAAGCCGTCAAGACGAAACACTGACCCAGGTGTTTCTCACACATTTAGTCGGCGTTTCTTAAAACAAAACTACCCAAAATACATTATTTCTATGACAGCAAACCTGTATAAGATATGGTTGCACTCAAGTTGCCGGAGCGTGAATTTAAGGGTCAGTTGAACTTTGTACGAGAAAGAATAAGGCATGTTCACGGAATTAATTTATTCGGTACAGCTTTAATAAAATCAGCTGTCGTTCAAACTTCTAAAAACACAATTGCGCTGCATACCTCCAAGTTCAAGTCAATTACTAACATTTCATTTGTGGACCTTTGAAAAATATTATTACTGGGCTGCCTGTGTGGCCCAGTCATAAAATGGGCTTTCGGTCGTCGGTGTCAAAAAGTGGTCTCCCGGGGGGAGGGAAGACACGAGGGTCTGGTACCGAGAAACGATGTTCTCACAAATGGTTTCATATGAGTTTCTCTTGCACGGAGTCTTGCACGGATACTTTTTGTACCTTGTCTGCGCTCCCCCTGAAAAACCCACAAGGCGTTGCGAACCTGAAGAAGGCTATTTGCGTTGTTCGAAGCGATTCGACCATGAGAGTAACTCTATCATTTTTTTATTGGTCGAGTTTAAGTCAGTTAGATGATGTTGGCGCTGGGAAACTCAGAGAAATGCTCGCGTTGCATTCAAACCGACACGCCGTTCACGGTAGGTTCACAGTAAAAGACTCAAAAGATGACTGTGAGCGTCAGGTTTGGAACGCCGTGGCTGCTTCGTGAACTATCGATCGATGTAGTACATGAGCAATTAAGAAGCACAATTTATGAGCAAAGTATTTCACCAGTTGACGACACTATGGCTGAAGACTTGATTGTAAGCCGTCATAGTCAGTGAAGCGAACAACTCAGTTGCCGATGAATGGCAGATGAATCCTGATGTGACGCACGTCCATAAGCGAGGGACGTGACAACTTTGCCATGTTAGAAGACTGGCTTTTCCTTTAAATATTTCCTTCTATTTAATGCAACACACGCCACTTTGGAGATCTAAATTTCGGATACTGAGGATAAAGAAGACACGGACAAAAATAGGAACTTTGAGAATTTCGCACACAAGTTTAAAGCTTCTCCGGGACATCCCATCCGGGAGCTTCACAGAGAGCGACTTGAGGAAAATAGGAGCTATTACTGGCAAGGTTTGGTGACTGAGTAGAGCATACAAGTGTAGCCCACGTCAAGGTTACATAGGCTTACGGGGCGGGGGGGCGAGGGGGGCTGCAGTCCCCCCAAATTTTGGGCAACTCGGATTTTTTGGGCAGCAAGAGAAAATTTGGGCAAAGCCAGGTTTTAAAGACGTTTCCATGTTTTTTTATTATTATTTTGAAGAGATAAATATTTTCTGTTTTAATCTGAAAAAAATCCTGAAGTCGGTGTAGTAATCCAGTTACATTCTCTCGAGACATTGGTTGCCTAGCACATGATGAGTTTCTGTTTATTAGGGAAGGGTATCATATGTTGATTTACATGTTATTTTATAGCTTTTTATTGTTGAGCACTGTACTGCACTACACTAACTGGAATGGGCTCTTTCCAGTCGTTTATTGATTAGAATAATCTTCCGCATATCTTTCTAGAATCATCTCCGCTCGTAGAACAGTGTATGGCAGATAGCATCAGCAATGGGTCTGAAAATGAAGAAGTGGCTGATACTGGACTTAAGGATCTTTATTTGCCCTGACTAGTTCTCAGTTCGATAACGGCCAAACATCAAGATTTTCCATTTTTACCATATTTCTAACGATAAAACTTCATCCCAAAATATCGCAATAACACTCTCACAGTTTCCGTTTTAACTTCACGAACATCGAGGCGACTATTTGAGCAAAAAGCTTCCATGAACGATTTTGTAAGAACAGTTCCCAGTGCCGAGAAATATTGCTGCAAGTAAAATATGCAATGGCGTCATTTCGTTGCTATGACAACTCCGATGTCATTGTATTCCTGATCATGACAAATTTTCGTCTTTATCTAATAAAACTGTGGTGGCAGTTTTTCCAAATGTTTGTCTATGGCGACGTAGTTATTCTCAGAATTGGGAGGTATTGAGCGTTAAAAACTGTTACAGTGTCGAGCCACCGTCATATGTCACTACGGCCTATGTTGTTGCATCGTATGGCCCTCTTTTCTTGTCGACTCTACGTTTCTTTAAAATTTGGGTAACTTGCGAAAATTTTTTGGGCAAATCGTTTACCGCCCCCCCCCCCTGGCAAAAATTTCCCGTACGCCTATGTCGAGGTTTCAGGGGGTTTGCTTTTGTTTGTATCTGTATCTTGCTAAGCTTTTGTCATTAAATTTGTACAAGATCTTGTGATCACAATTCTGTGTTTTCACCCATTCAGCAAGCACGCTATATTGATGTCAGCATTAGCGAGTTTCAGAAACATGCCTTTGAAAATTTTCAGCTCTCGTGATGTTTCTTGATATTTCTTTTACCATTTTATGGACATGTAAACTGAAGTCACCGCAAAATGGAAACTTAAAAAAGCGTATAATCCATTTATCTCGAAACATAACACACATGACTTTAATATACGACCTTTATTTTCGTAAAGGTGTTTTGAATACGAACGAACACAGTCAATGTGAGGGGCAAAAACAGCATTAATATAAATGAACCATAGGATTTTAACTAATATAAGGGTCAATTATTGTGCATTGAGATGAATCGCTTGAAAAGGGAGACTTCGCTTGAAGATGTGATCAGAAGTAAACAAAGGCATAATACTGCGTCACGTTCAGTCTTTTTAATATTCAAGGAGTCACTGTGAATAGTGTTTCCATATTGTTTAGCTGACACAAAAACTTCGGAAGAGTTATAAAGCGGCAAGCCTGCGTAGCAGGCGCTTGGAAGTAGCGGGCGAAAGAGAGAACGGGCGCGCGCGAGGGAGACACGCAAGGGGTGAGGGAGCGCCTGCACGGAAGGCCCCCGAAAATCGTTTCAACTCGCACTCTGTGAGTGCGGATATTTCCAATTGGTCGAGAGGCTCCCGAGGGAAAAATTAACCGCGCGGGGCGAGAAAACTGTCAATCAATAGTACATGGACAACGTAGTGAAGATCTTGCATTACACCACTGGGTCCTGAAACCACTAAATTGTATACAATCGAAGTTCAGGTCTCGGAGGTCACTTCAATCTGGTTTAATGGGACTATGTGGTTGTAATCTCAAAGAAAAGTTGGAGTGTTCAAACGGTAGTCACGATGGAAAGAATTGACATCGACAGAAGTGGCAAGAGACAAAAGATTTGTCGAATCGTTGCAATGAAGATCAGAGGAAATATTCTTTGCTCAGGAGAACTTGGCGGCTTGTGCTGTCGAGGGAACGCATACCATCAAAACTTGGACATGATTGATGAAATGAAACACTTACCAGGGGCATGAATTTGAAAAAAACATTTCACTATTGTATTATTCGCCGTTCGGAGGCGACCTGAGGTCTGTTGTTTATTTCTCATTACTGCAGTAGAAAACATGCATGTCGGTACAGTTTGTGTTCTGAGGTTTAGGTCCGCTTAGTAAGACATGTCTGCTCCAAAAACGGCTGCCAGTTAGCGCAGTAAAAGCAATATGGTCATTTTCCACGTACACTGTGATCGCTGGTGTCTGACCAGAACAATATTTTTAGTTTTTATAATACACAGCATGCATTCTTTAAAAGATACCCAGTTTTTACTTTGTTATTTCCTATTTATTGTGCCCATGTTAAAAAACGATTTAAAGCTGTGTGTTAACCATCAGTTTATTGCTCCATCGCTCTATAATCAGATAACCCAGCTGATCTTTATAACAGATTAGACCGAAGATAAAATGCACAACGCTTTTTGGCGGCACGCTTTGTTTGTGTGAGGTCAGTCGTTTTCTGTCAAAACTTTTGACAGATCACGCAACGGCTGCCAAGTAATTAGAGAGGGGGCGGGAAACGATTTTCGGGGGCCTTCCGTGCAGGCGCTTCCTCTCCCCTCGCGTGTCTCCTTCTCGCGCGCCCGTTTTTTCTTGTGCCCACTACTTCCAAGCGCCTGCTACGCAGGCTATAAAGCGGCATAGTTATCTTCCATGAAGAAAAGTTAGTCTTGGGTGAGACAAACATAACTGGAGCGAATTTTTAACTCACATCGGTATCAGGTAAAAAATATGTTATCGATCGTTTCATCTATTTACATTGTTTCAAGCGCGTGCTGGTGAACGCAACATGTGAGCGAGAAATCTTTAAACTTTTTTAGGTCTCAAAATGCAAAGGATTTTATTCCTTTAAGTTAGAGAAAAATACCGTGAGGAAAATCTTAAAACTGAATACTTTTCATCTTGTGGAAAAAATAGTGCGTTTTCATGTAGCCTGTGGACCGCAAATTAGGATCGCACTTTTCACAAACATGCAAATTCTGAAGTTCAGAACCCAATCGACGATTGCGTTTTTCGCTGCTGCCAATCATCTTAACAGACCTCTTAGGAAACAAAACTTTACTTCACGGGTTCAAAAGGTCATGGTTTGTGATTTGTGGATTTCAATCCTTTTTGTTTGTTTCGCTGTTTCAAGGTTCGTTGCTTGTGATCGTAATTATGATTGACGGCAGCGATAAGCACAATTGTGAAGGTGGCTTTTGAACTTTAGAGTTCGCATGTTTGTGAAAAGCGCAGCAACGGTCTCCTTAAAGTGAGGCCCCAGGATCAGGCGGGATCAATGGGCAGTTAACTGTCTGTTTTAGTATACTTCTGGTTTTCATACAATACAATATTTCTGTCTAGTGTAAATCAGCTCAGTCTGTCGCATTTTATGCTCGCAGAAGGACAACAATTTTTTGAATTTCCGGTTACGTCAAATTAGTCACGTTGTACTGTCAAGGTATATTTTTGGGGCACAGAGGGATTGGGGGAGGGGTGCGTGGAAATAATGCAAATTGTTTCCTGTTTAGAATTAATGGCTAACTTGTTTATGTTTATTCACAATGGTGGAATTTAAAAGTTATTATACAGCCCCCACTTAAAAATGGTACCCTTTTTTTTGGTTACGAAAGTCTTTCAAAAGGGTACAATCTTCTGAATGAGTTTATGTTTCAGTCTCACATGAGATTCTGTTGCATGCAATCGTTGCCGACAAGGTTTTATGGTAGCCTGAGTGTGTATAGCCGCCCGCTCCCCTCAGAAAAAATAACCCCTTTGCAGCCCAGTTAAAAATCGCCTTTCGGCGATTCTTGTTTTTTATACTTCACTTTGAAGCAGGTGAAAGATAATTCAAGTACGTTGTGCTGTCCGCGATAGCCGAATTAGGTCATAAATGTACATGTCTTGAACCAGCAGCCACACTAAAATATGAACCCTTAAACAGCTGCACTCACTGTACTCGGCGTTTGAATCATGAAGATATTTAAATGTTGTGCTTCTAAACATCTTAAGCCGGAATAAAAGGCGACAAAATTGTCAAAAACCAAAATGGCCTGTTTGACCTTTAGCGCTTTGATATCATGTTTAGATGCCAAAATCTCGTTGTTTCTTAAGCATAAACTTTTAGTACCTTTAACCTCATTGGCCCATGCAATACACATTCGAACAGACAAATCCACAAAGCAACAAAGATACATACCCTAAGACCACTGACATATGAGCTAATTTTTTTTCCAAATAGCGCAAAAAGAAAAATATTTCGCCATAATAATTAACATCGGCTAAGAATCTAAAGTCTTCACAGAATGAGCCAATCGTTAGCGCCGAAACATGATCGCACCAGGAAATTAAATCGCTACCTTTACCGTAGGAAAACCTATTAGCTAGGTTTACCGTTCAAGCTGCTTCTTTGGACAAAAAAGAGCCGCTGACTCAACACTTTTCAGCCCTTTCTCCAACCACCTTCAATTTTAAAGAAATAATCAGCAGCAAATGATCGAACGTACCTTCCTGCTCGTCGCTGTCTCCTAAAATAACAAGAGATAGAAAAATATGTGAAAACAAAGGAAATTCTAAATTCACCTTTTGATAAGAAATAGACCTTGTTAGTTTGTATGTTTCGTTTTCCCATCTGAGACCTCAGAGAACTGTTTCTTATGCATGTTCATATTTATGCATAATTTATGAAAAGAGAAAAGACGAATTCCCTGGAGAACATCAAGTGGTCTGAATTGAGAAAACAAAACGTAGAAGCTAAAAAGGTCTATTACAACAGCATGGAACGTAGCTTATAATCTGAGAAGCTTGAATAGTTTGAAATCCCGTTTACAACTGTAATTTTAAAAAAAAATACATAAATACTATTCAAATGACATCTCGCTCCCTATCCTAACGTGAGTTTGGTTCAGTCAAAACATACTCCAATAGGGTCGGTCACCGTTGTTCTTAAATGCTACTTTTGAGTTGCAAACAAGTACAACGCCATTCATATAAGGTCCCCTCCGAATATCAAAGCTGAAGCTAAACGTCGAACTCTTCATGTACGGAACTCAATCCTTCAGTTAAGTACATAAAAAGATGGGTGGGCTGGAAGCTCTACGAACGGCTCACAGGATTAATTTAGAAAAGATAGCCCTAACCCAAACAAAACTAACAATGAACCCCACCTCTGAAACAATAGAGTTTCGGGCCAACAAGAACCTATCAAATTGGAGGTTCTGGCCAACCAGGAAAAGATCAACGCTTGAATCAATTAAGTCTGACCGTCTAATTTGGGTTGACCTATGAATTTGGTTGGAGGTGCCCCCCATGGGAATTTTTTTTTTTAATAATTTATTTATTAAACATCATTTAACATAACATTACAATAAACTTTACAATAACTGGGCGGCAAATAAAAAGGAGGCGAAACAATAAAATAGATAAATAAACAAACAAACAAGCAAAATAAAGCGAAATACGAAGGTTCAACAGATTAACGACAACAAGCAGAACAAATAGAAAAATGTTTGCTAAATTACTACAAATCCAACACTAATCAGAAATGCACAGCGTGGTCCACGTATTTCTGTATTTGTTAAGATTTCCTTTTGTTATTGCATTTTCTCTTTCGCACTGGATTTTAATTTCCAGGAGAACAATGAAAACCTCCAGCCCTGGGGTCTCAAACTTGTTTCTAGCTAAGTAAACGTAATATCTAGCAATTAAGAGATAATGGTTAAAAGTATGAAAGCCGTTAGATTCAGGTTTGTATCCATAAAGAACTTCCGTTGGATTGGGATTTATGTTTTCAGAACGTTTACGATTCCACCAGTCTATAACTTTTTCCCAAAAACGTTTTATCGCAGGACACTCGTAAAACATATGGCTAATAGTTCACAAGGAGCATCACATTGTTCGCATTTTGGCGAAGATTTAACATTCATTTTCCAAAGGCGTTGGTTGGTCGGAAGAATATTGTGGATGAGTTTGAACTGAAAACTTCTTAGCTTATTTTCAAAGGTGATTTTGAATGGAAGCTCATATACAGCACTAGGAGTGAATGTTTGTTCTCTTAAATAGGATTCAGTTAATGGAGGGCAGAAAGATTTCTCAGCAAATATTAGTCGAGCATATTTTGATGAAACATTTCCAACGGTTAGTTGTGTCACCTTTGGTTCGTTGGTGTGTTCCTGATTGCCATGTAAGATAGCATTTTTCCAATCTTTAGGAATCGCGGCCAGAAGACCACCGTAATCAAGAAACGTACCACGAATGTGAAAAGTATCTTTAAGCTCTTGGAAAGATAGGAAGTTATCATGAGCATTGAGGATATCTTTGATTCTTAAAATGCCTTTACTAACCCATGCTTTATAAAAAACCGTCTTTCCGCCGATCTTAATAAAGCGGTTATTCCAAAGTATTTCCTCTTTAATTTCATTAACACTAAGGGGTACCTTGGAATGAAGGATCTGCCAGACCGTTAAAATGTTCCTATAAAAGAGGGGGAGACCTTCTAGATCTAAGAATTTCAAATCGTAATTACACTGAAACAAAAAAGAGCCTCCGAATTTTTCAAGATGAGAGTCAAGAAGCGCACACCAATGATGACCATCCGATGAACAATAGCGATTTACCCAGGCAGCTTTAAGAGATTTTTCTACGTCCGAGAAATTGACCATGTTAAGGCCACCTTTGGAGATTGGGCCTGTCAGTGTGTTTCTTTTGATTTTATCAGGCTTAAAGTTCCATATGAAAGGGAAAATGACCTTATTAACTTCTTTAGCAAAATCGGTCGGAGTATCAAGTACAGAGCAATTATAAACAAGTTTAGACAGTGCTAATGTTTTGACAATAGCAATTCGCCCCAGGATTGACAAGCGCCGACCTGACCAAAGATTTAACACCTTTTTTCATTTTAACAAGCCGCTCTTCAAAGTTGATTTTCTCGCCAACGTGCGTTTCATAAGCGAAAACTACGCCGAGGGAGGAGACGTATTGCTTCGGCCAAGAGATTCCAAAAGGTTCGTCCTTACCTAATCTGTTTTTCCACAATCCCAGCCACAACCCTTCAGTTTTCGACTTATTTATTCTCAGACCGGAGAGCGTACTGAATCGGTCAAGCAAAGCGAAAAGGGCTACTGCAGACGAGTCGTCGTGAATATAAGTAGTGGTATCGTCGGCATATAAACTGACTTTAGATTCTTTGTTTCCGTTCTTAAGACCTTTGATCGATTTTCTTGTTCTAATCTGAATAGGAATTTTCACTGAGGAGCGACTTTGTTTTACACATGGATCCTTTTACGTGCCGAACCTAATGCATAAATTACTAGAATTTATTTTTACTCCGGCTAATTAAGTTCGACTTCTTAATCAACTGTCGAACTCTCATCATTTGGGTCGACCAAAATAGCTGTAAGTTAGGTACATGAAAAGTTCGATGTTTGAACTGGGCCTATGCTACCCTGTTTTTCTTGTTTTGAAAAGACTAGTATGTAATTCAAATGTATTGCTAGCTCATATATAAGGTGTCTTTTCCAGTTCACTCGTACTAGAATACACTCCCGTACTCTTAATGCTTGTTTACATGGAGTTGGGACACCCCAGGTAGAAGAGGTTATAACCTCTCATTTTAATTTGATCAAATTTACCTGATAACGGGGGTGACCCGCCATATGTTACCTCACCTATCTGGGGTCGCCCACCTCCATGTAAACTAGCCCTGAGGTTACCGAGACGAAAACACTGGGTTAATACTTACCAGAAAGTTTGCGTTTCTTGTTTCTATTCGCCTGATCATTTCTGGGTCTGCTCCTCATCATGAATGGCTTGCTGTAGAACTGTTGCGTTTCTTCTTCAAGTCCGTTGTGAATTGACAGCTCGACTAGCAACTGAAAAATGTTCCTCTTATCCATTTCCACTTTGGCCAATTGGTACACTGGAGCAATGGGGCCATCATAAACGGAGTCCAAGTTCACAGAGAAATCATACTGCAAAACAGCACAGGACAGTAAACAAATAAAAATTTGGCTCTACAGATTTTCAAATGAAGGAAATAGTGCTATCGCAATTGGGTTCCCTTTAATACGTATCTACTGGACAATCATTTATCCGGTGGATGGGGCTATGAAACGCTTGAACATTACCGGGGCCAAAACATTTAAATGTGATCATGTTCGAAAACAAATGCAATGCCAGAACGCAATAAGCAGCGCTTAACTGTGGGTTTTAGGAAATCAGTCGGAGATCACAAAATAAATTTTCCCTTCAGAAAAGTGTTCCTTGTCTAAGCTTTATGTGTCCTGTTTACCCGTCCCTTAATTTCAAGATTGTAAGTAGTCCTTGCGTCTCGCGGTAAATTAAGTTTGGCCAGTTTGGTAGTTGTCAAATTGACGAAGTCCTGAGGGATGACAAAACAAAACCACGGTGATGCTGTCTCTTCACCGCTGGGGAAAGCAAGGGGACACTTAACAGAAAGTCTACTGCAAAGGAAACAAGAATTAATATAGTACCTTTTCGATATCGTGGCTTCCATGAATGACGTCAAGTTGGACGGGTCCGTTCTGATCTTGGTGAAGTTTTGCCGCTGATGGCTCCCGGAGTACCCAAACTTTTATCCCCAGGATATCTCCCAACCCGTAGCGCGCTTCCATTTGCACAATTCCATTTGGCACTCGCTGTTTTGCTACCCCTCCGCTCCTGATCTGTACTTTGTCAAACACAGTTTTTTCCTCCAACGTCACAAACCGTACTTCTGCTTCAACTTGAAAATCTTCGCTTCCAAAGGACCCGATAGGGAGAGGAAAGGTAGCGAAAGCTGGAATAAAAGGTACAATAGCCTTTTCACATTCTGATTGAAAATGAGAGTGACATTGATTGAAAGTCAGACTAACATCAAGCTTCCAAGTTTGGTATAGAGACTGTGCATGGTATCTACAGTTCATTGGGATATAAATTACAATAGCCATCTCACAATTTGATTGAAAGTCAGAGTCACACCGCCTTCAAATCTTCGCTTCCAAAGGACCCGATTTGGATAAAAGTTGCAAGAACCATTTCACAATTTGATTGACATGAAAATCAGAGCGATGCCACCTGCAAATCTGTCTTCGCTTCCAAAGGACCCGATATGGAGCGGTAAGGGATCCACGGATAAAAGTTACAATAGCCACTCCACAATTTGATTGAAAGTCAGAGTAATGCCGTATTCATGTGACAATGTTTAGGTAGGCCTAGATACAAATATCGCAAAAAATGTTCTAAATTTCTTTCTAGAAATTCTCATAAAATTCCTAAATTTCTTAAAAAATCTTCTAAATTTCTCAGAAATATCATTTTTTTCTAATGTTAATTAGACCCATTTTTGGCTTTATATCAATTAAAGAAATGAAAAAAAATATATACATTATTATTTGAATAGCAAAAGATGTAAATTGACTGATTGATTCCACGTGGCGTCGAATTAATTGGTAGGTACTTTGTATATGGTGCATCTTATTGTACTGCAGAATAAATCTGCTGAATTGGTAGTATCGCTGGCTCGTAAAAGGACACGAAATTAATATAAACCGTTTTTTTTGTTCTTATGAAGTATCTTTTTTGTGATAATTGCTCTAAATATCACTTTTTTTTCTAAATTTCTCAACATTTTCTAAATTTCTCAAAAACTTCTAAATATCTCAAAAAATATCGCGATATTTGTATCTAGGCTTATGTTTAGGCATGTCACAATTTTACTGAATGGGTGATATGACTCCTGTAAAGTAAGCCTTCACATTCAAACGAGTACAGAAAGCTTAGCGCAGGTTATATCCTTAGAATGGATAGAATGCTCTAAAGCTAAAAGAGTGATATCGTAAGAAGATGATTGACCGAATAGAGAGACTAGTAAGTTTTAGCATAAAAGCCTTGAGGATTACATCATGAGATCAGCAGTTTAACATACTTGCTATATTTAAAGAAATTACAACTTATGTATTTGTTGCTTAAACACAACTCTCACATTGTTGCAGCATTGGCGGACCGAACGTAATTCCCAAGTGCTTTACAGGAGAATTGTTTCATGACTTACGTCAAACTTTTCTCGTGTATTCCCCAAACATCTCGCACAGGTTGACTTTACCACGCCGTTATACCAGCAGAGTACTCACTCCATTTCTTATGTAATTTAACAACCTTAAAGTTAACCAACTGCCTCACTTAAGTGGAAGTGGGTGCCTGGGATACCCAGGGACTTCCACTGTGGCCAGCCAAGCCCCTAGATAGAATACTGCCCCCATGGCTGGCAAATGCTCGCAACCCAGCCATCAGGCCCCATTCCGGGCATCGGTGACACTGATAAAACGGTGGAAGGAAGAAAAATAAGGGATGGGATGGGGAAAGACGCTAAATGAACCGCTCCACCGACCACTGCACAAACGCTCAACGAAGTACTCCCAGATCCTAGCAGTGTACAAAGCTACCACGTACCATGTGAGCCTGCACTTATGGAATTGACCGCTGGATACCCGCTAAGCTCGTGGACCGCATGACCGCTAGTGGACCGCTTGACCGCTAAACTTGTGGACCACTTACCGCTAAGCTTGTGAGCCGCTTAAGCTCTAAGCTCATGAACCGCTTGACCGCAAAGCTCGTGGACCGCTTGCCCGCAAAGCTCGTGGTAGTTAACTTACTTAAATTACATTTAACCAAATTGAAAATGTGGTATTTCATTTTCTACTATGAATTTACTGATATAATAAACATAGTATCAGTATGCACAGTATCAGTATCAATAATAATTGAAATTAAGTCACTTCAAAGTTCATAAAGAAGTTTAACAAGATAATAATTAAACCTTTGGCCTATCCTATGGTAATAGGCCCTTTCCAGTATGGCGGTTTTGTTCCACAGCATTTCATTCCTCGGTTTTCTGGGCAAAATTCAAGTTTAGACTGCCCATGAGGGTAATTGTTTACGCGTTCAGCGTATAACTTCATTGGTCCGAAAGTGAGAGATGACGTTAGCAATATCCAAAAATAAGTTATTTAATTTAAAACCCGGAAATAAGACAATACGACTTGTAATTCTTTTCTCGCTCTATATTTTAGCACCGCGAATACATGATGCATAGTCTTCTAATTCTCGACTCTGTGGGGCAAATCTTATAGTGTGTCCATTCAAAATTCAAGCTTTTCACATGATACTAGCAGGAAGCAAGTGAAATTTGTTTACGGTTTGTTTTGGTTTCTAATGTTTAAAAGTCTGAACTTATTACTTAAGGCAATTAACAGGTTAAGTTTGAAAAAAAAAAATAGAAATGCGGTGGTGGTGGAGGAGGAGGGAAACAAAAAGGAAGCTTATGTAAAGACGACTTCGCTAAGAATGACGTCGTTTAAATTTCTGCGTGGCCGTCGACGTCCTGTTCCCAGTCGTTAACGTTACAGCCAAAATAAAGCTCTCCCCTCAAAACCTATCTCCAAAGAAGTCAACATAGAAACTAAGAGTGCAACCATTGCTTTTTTTTTTCTTCTCCTTTTTCTCTCCTTAATCTTTCTATGTTTTCTTTCCTTGTTCTTTTCCTGGAGGATTTTCGGGCTAATTTTGCCTTCAGCCGGCTTTTGGTCTTTTTCTCAGTCAAAAGACTGCAATTTTTGTTCGGTACGTTTTCGAAAACCTAACAAGATAATGCTTTGGCTTTTACTGTTACCTGTACATTAATTTTCGTTAACGTACCGACATCCTCAATATACAAGTTTCACTTTTTTTAAGCTTTTCGTTTTCATTTTGTTAAGAGTGAACTAAAGAGGAGGCGAGGATAGTTTTACTTATACTTTACGATACACAACAATGCACAGTTTTTAATTGCCTATGAATTTAACAAGACGAAAAAGCGTTTTCATTTTAGGAAAAGTGTTTTTACCTTCGCAAAAAAATTATGAAGGTTAACGGAACATTCGTCGCATAAGAACCTTGTCTCCAGTAAACTGTTGTTTCAAAAAAACGAAATAGTACAATAGGGAAGCAGGTTTTGAAGGGAAAGATTAATTCTGGGTAGCCAAAACAATGCGAATGTAAAAATATCTTGTAGGGGTCTATGGAGTAATGACGCAAAGCATAATTCACGTAACTCAGTCAGAAGGTTCACATGCAGTGAAGGGTTACACAACGCTCATCCGAAGAGAAACATAGGTTCCGCAAATAGAGGTGAGCCATCAGAAGCTAAGTGAGGCATGCCCATCATGTCGTACATATGTCCAGTACTTTCGCGCCTTCATTGACCACTGCAATTATTTTCAGACGTATAGCATCCCATTATTGTTGTAGAAAAAGAGGCCTTCATTTGCCAATGGACGAAAAAAACTGGTCAAAGTTCAGGGTTGTTCTCACAAACGAAATGCAAGAAGAGAATATAAGCGCCTTAAGACCACAGACCCATTAATCTACTTATTCATCTTACCAAGAAATGAAGGACTGCCGCGGAAAATACAAACTGAACACACAGATACACTAAACTAAATCTGAGACTCGCTACAAGAAGAAGATAAAAAAGAACAATAACACTGGGTTTGGTTTTCTCGATTTCCCTTACAACAGATTTGGTCAGGTGTAATGAAAAGCACAGAGAGTTACGATCTAGCAAAAACCAAATAGACGGAGTCCTTAGCGGAATATTTACTCACTCACATTGCAAAGTACGGAGTTACAATCCTAAAGGAGGTTGTGTATGTCGCGCGAAAGAAAACCCCCTGTTTTCGATCACACATATTGTGTCCAAGGTTTGAACATAACTACTTCACAAAACTCCATTACACGGAAAACGGGAGTAGCTTGAGCAGTTTGTACTGATAGAAAGCTATTGTTCGTTGTACACATTTAGTAGCACGTATCCTGCAGGATGGATGCAAATTTAGTAGCCGAGTGATGGGGAACAGTTTGATTTGATATTTTATTGTTCACCATCAGTCAGCTACTAAATTTGTATCCATGCTGCATAGATATAAAAAATTACCAGCCTGTAAGCTGCTAAAATACTTACTGCATTTCTGATATTGCGCAAAAAATCAATTATTAATATTTTTAACCCTGTTAACACAGACTGATTAATAACTTCGCTTTTAAATACGGTCATAAAAAAAATTAAAGCTTGGAATGTTAAGACAGACGAGTGGCTGGGTAACGTGTGCAAAGCCGTCAAGACGAAACACTGACCCAGGTGTTTCTCACACATTTAGTCGGCGTTTCTTAAAACAAAACTACCCAAAACTACCCAAAATACATTACTTCTATGACAGCAAACTTGTATAAGATATGGTTGCACTTAAGTTGCCGGAGCGTGAATTTAAGGGTCAGTTGAACTTTGTACGAGAAAGAATATAGCATGTTCACGGAATTAATTTATTCCGTACAGCTTTAATAAAATCAGCTCTTGTTCAAACTTCTAAAAACACAATTACGCCGCATACCTCCAAGTTCAAGTCAATTACTAACGTTTCATTTGTGGACCTTTGAAAAATATTATTTATTATACTTCACTTTGAAGCAGGTGAAACATAATTCACCTACGTTGTGCCGTCCGCGATAGCCGAATTACGTCATAAATGAACATGTCTTGAACCAGCAGCCACACTAAAATATGAACTTTTAGTACCTTCAACCTCATTGGCCCATGCAATACACATTCGAACAGACAAAGCCACAAATCCACAAAGCAACAAAGATACATACCCTAAGACCACTGACATATGAGCTAATTTTTTTTCAAAATAGCGAAAAAGAAAAATATTTCGCCATAATAATTAACATCGGCTAAGAATCTAAAGCCTTTACAGAATGAGCCAATCGTTAGCGCCGAAACATGATCGCACCAGGAAATTAAATCGATACCTTTACCGTAGGAAAACCTATTAGCTAGGTTTACCGTTCAAGCTGCTTCTTTGGAGAAAAAAGAGCCGCTGACTCAACACTTTTCAGCCCTTTCTCCAACCACCTTCAATTTTAAAGAAATAATCAGCCGCAAATGATCGAACGTACCTTCCTGCTCGTCGCTGTCTCCTAAAATAACAAGAGATAGAAAAATATGTGAAAACAAAGGAAATTCTAAATTCACCTGTTGATAAGAAATAGACCTTGTTAGTTTGTATGTTTCGTTTTCCCATCTGAGACCTCAGAGAACTGTTTCTTATGCATGTGCATATCTATGCATAATTTATGAAAAGAGAAAAGACGAATTCCCTGGAGAACATCAAGTGGTCTGAATTGAGAAAATAAAACGTAGAAGCTAAAAAGGTCTATTACAACAGCATGGAACGTAGCTTATAATCTGAGAAGCTTGAATAGTTTGAAATCCCGTTTACAACTGTAATTTTAAAAAAAAATACATAAATACTATTCAAATGACATCTCGCTCCCTATCCTAACGTGAGTTTGGTTCAGTCAAAACATACTCCAATAGGGTCGGTCACCATTGTTCTTAAATGCTACTTTTGAGTTGCAAACAAGTACAACGCCATTCATATAAGGTCCCCTCCGAATATCAAAGCTGAAGCTAAACGTCGAACTCTTCATGTACGGAACTCAATCCTTCAATTAAGTACATAAAAAGATGGGTGGGCTGGAAGCTCTACGAACGGCTCACAGGATTAGTTTAGAAAAGATAGCCCTAACCCAAACAAAACTAACAAAGAACCCCAACTCTGAAACAATAGAGCTTCGGGCCCACAAAAAACTATCAAATTAGAGGTTCTGGCCAACCAGGAAAAGATCAACGCTTGAATCAATTAAGTCTGACCGTCTAATTTGGGTTGACCCATGAATTTAGTTGGAGGTGCCCGCATGGGAATTTTCACTGAGGAGCGACTTTGTTTCACACATTGAACCTTTCACGTGCCGAACCTAGTGCATAAATTACTATAATTTATTTCACTGGTGAACATTGTACACCACTGTACATCGTGAAAATGAATTGTCGGTGGCTAATTGAGTTCGACTTCTGAATCAACCGTCGAACTGTTATCATTTGGGTCGACCCAAATAGCTATAAGTTAGGTACATGAAAAGTTCGATGTTTGAACTGGGCCTATGCTACCCTGTTTTTGTCTCGACTTTTCTTGCTTTGAAAAGACTAGTATGTAATTCGAATGTATTGCTAGCTCATACATAAGGTTTCTTTTCCAGTTCACTCGTACTAGAATACACTCCCATACTCTTAAGGCTTGTTTACATGGAGGTGGGACACCCCAGGTAGAAGAGGTACCCGCTTAGGTGGGGTAACCCGCCTGTTCATATAATCTCTCATTTTAATTTGATCACGTTTACATGATAGGTGGGGTGACTCGCCACATGTTACCTCACCTATCTGGGGTCCCCCACCTCCATGTAAACTGGCCCTAAGGTTACCGAGACGAAAACACTGGGTTACTACTTACCACTTAGTTTGCGTTTCTTGTCTTTATTCGCTGGATCATTTTTGCACCTCATCATGAATGGCTTGCTGTAGAACTGTTGCGTTTCTTCGTCAAGTCCGTTGTAAAACGACAGCTCGACTAGCAACTGAAAAATGTTCCTCTTATCCATTTCCACTTTGGCCAATTGGTACACTGGAGCAATGGGGCCATCATAAACGGAGTCTAAATTCACAGAGAAATAATACTGCAAAACAGCAAAGGACAGTAAAGAAATAAAAATTTGGCTCCACAGATTTTCAAATGATGGAGATAGTGCTATGCCAATTGGGTTCCCTTTAATACGTATCTACTGGGCAGTCATTTATCCGGTGGATGACGCTATGAAACGCTTCAACATTACCGAGGCCAAGAAATTTAAATGTGATCATGTTCGAAAACAAATGCAATGCCAGAAAGCACTAAGCACCGCTTAACTGTGGGTTTTAGGAAATCAGTCGGAGATCACAAAATAATTTTTTCCCTTCAGAAAAGTGTTCCTTATCTCAGCTTTACTTGTCCTGTTTCCCCGTCCCTTAATTGAAAGATTGTAAGTAGTCCTTGAGTCTTGCGGTTACTTAAGTTTGGCCACTTTGGTAGTTGTCAAATTGACAAAATCCTGAGGGATGACAAAACAAAACCACGGTGATGCTGTCTCTTCTCCGCTGGGGAACCCAAGGGGACACTTGACTGAAAGTCAACTGCAAAGGAAACAAGAATTAATATAGTACCTTTTCGATATCGTGTCTTCCATGAATGACCTTAAGTTCGACGGGTCCGTTCTGATCTTGGTGAAGTTTTGCCGCTGATGGCTCCCGGAATACCCAAACTTTTATCCCCAGGATTTGTCCCACCGTGGAGCATGCTTCCATGTGCACCATCCCATCTGGCACTCGCTGTTTTGCTATCCCTTCGCTCCTGATCTGTACTTTGTCAAACACAGTTTTATCCTCCAACGTCACAAACCGTACTTCTGATCCAACTTGAAAATCTTCACTTCCGAAGGACGCGATATGGAGAGGTAAGGTATCTGGAATAAACGTTACAATAGCCTTTTCACATTCTGATTGAAAATGAGAGTGACATTGATTGAAAGTCAGAGTAACATTAAGCTTCCAAATCTTCGCTTCCAAAGAATCAGGTATAGAGTCTGGGCATGGTATCTACAGGTCATTTGGATAGAAATTACAACAGCCATCTCACAATTTGATTGAAAGTCAGAGTCACACCACCTTCAAATCTTCTCTTCCAAGGGACCCGATATGGAGCGGTAAGGGATCCACGGATAAAAGTTACAATAACCACTCAACAATTTGATTGAAAGTCAGAGAATTGCTGTCTTCATGTGACAATGTTTAGGCATGTCACAATTTCACTGAACGGGTGATATCACTCCTGTACTTTAGCAAGCCTTCACATTCAAACGAGTACAAAGCTTAGCGCAGGTTATATCCTTAGAATGGATAGAATGCTCGAAAGCTAAAAGAGTGATATCGTAAGGAGATAATTGACCGAATAGAGAGACTAGTAAGTTTTAGCAGAAAAGCCTTGAGGATTGCATCATGAGATCACCAGTTTAACACACTTGTTATATTTAAAGAAATTACAACTCATGTATTTGCTGCTTAAACAAAACTCTCACATCCGTGCCGTCTCAAATAAAAACTGACTCCTCAAGAGAGAAATATCAGTAGATAGCCAGTAAGTGTCAATAAAGAACCATTTCGTATTGTTCACACAGTTTTATCAACTATGACAAATTTGTCACCAAAATCGTTAGTTCAAGTCACGTCACCTAGTACTGAAAAAAAACTCCGAGGTATACTGATAAAGCTAGAAGTTATGCATTATAAATCAATATAAACAAACGTTTATGACGATTATGGATGATCTGGAGATCGAAGCCGTTTTGCCAAACCTCATCTTACTGTCGGGTTCGTTTATTTTACAAACATCCGCCTAGATTCCGCCTTTTTTCATGCGTCTTCCCGTTTGTGCATATGCATATGAAAACGGATGGAACAAATTTGTCAAAACGGTACCTAGTTTCCTGATTTGTTTGCCCCTTTAGCTTGTCACTCCACAGAATCATTTTGCAGCGTGATTCGCATATCAGAAAAGAAAGAAAACAATGTCAAAAAGTACCTACAATCGGCGACAAAATTGTTGAGCCATTGTACTCAAATAGGGTAACTTCGGAGAACAAAAGAATCCGCACTCCTCCCCTGTCCCCTCCATTCAAAGTTGGGGTGTTTGTTGTTTTCTATAGGTAGCTAGAACAAGGGCACAACATTGCACGGAGGGGATGGGGGAGGAAAGCTATATTTCCTCCTTTTGAAGTTAATAAAACGAAAAAAAGTCCAGTTTGGTGCGAAGTGTCTCAACTCATTTTGTCGCCAATTGTCTGAATGGAAATCTACGCGCTGTTGTCCTATTAGCAGCGGTTAGGAGACGATAACTAGTCGAGATTACTATATTCACTGGGTCATTTTTCAGAAGATAGATATAATACCCATATAATCCCTTTCCTGTGTTTTTCGAAGGAAAGGTAGTTTTGACAATCTTTGTACTCGGTAGTGTTTTCAAGTAATTACGCAGCACACCCGCGTACCGAATGACTGATTTTCCTCTGGTAACTAAGTGTGATCGTTAGGAATCGATGGCAGATAATACATTGTATTTGAATATATCCTTAGTACGTTCGAAGTGTTTATTCGAAGTTTGGCTATTTGATAAGGGTGGGATGAACGATAAAATAGCCATGATTGCAATGCGCAGGAGAATTTTCAGGAAAAATGTTTCAACTTCTAACGCACAGCAAAGCTGCATAGCATCGCTAAATCTGTGCAGTAGATTCGTTGCCCATATACTCATAAGGGTCTTTGAAGAATGTACTTTACAGTAGAAACTATGAGGTCAGGAGGAGACTGGCCACGAGTAACCACGAGTAACCAACTTTGTTCTTAAGAGATAATCAGATTATTTTATTTTATACTCATCGTGGTTACTCGTGATTACTCGTGGAAATTCCCCCTAAAGAGCAATTTTAGCCATGATAACTACTTTAATGTCTAGAAATCTATTAACTTTTCAATTCTTTTCACTTTGTTCTTTGTTTCGATGCGTTTCGATAAAGGAGAGAATAAAAAATCGTGCGCGACGCGCCATATCGCACGATGTCAAGTCACGGTTAAGCCTGATAGGAAATGTCACGCACTGAAAATAACGAAATCGCCTTATTCTAATTGTTCTAAAATAGGTATGATGAAGTCAAACATAACAAATAAAAAGCCAACAGGGGTCTTACATCCCAGCATAAAGAAATGAATTCAATTAATTTTCTAAAGGACATAGGGCCACTTTTCGATTCAGACAATCGGCCACAAAATTGTTGAGACATTGTACTCAAATAGGGTAACTTCGGAGAACAAAAGAATCCGCACTTCTCCCCTATCCCCTCCATTCAAAGGTAAGGTGTTTGTTGTTTTCCATAGGTAGCCAGAACAAGGGCACAACATTGCACGGAGGGGATGGGGAAAAAAGCCCAGTTTAAGGCGAAGTGTCTCAACTCATTTTGTCGCCAATTGCAGTTTCTTGCAGCCTGGATATCAT